ACGGAAAATTAGAAGTAAATCTAAATGTCAAATAAATAAAATAGCTATAAAATGATAATAAAATTAGGAGATTTAAATTTTTCTTTTTAAACATATATACTTTCTGAATTGTCTATCGGGTATATATCACTTCCAAAATTTAAGAATTATAAAGAAAATTGTGTCAAGTGCTGGAAAAAATAAAAGATAATACTACAGCAGCACTATTTCTGTACTTCCAGACCTCTTTTCTTGCCTTTGGTTCTTTCTGTACTTTTTTCCTGGTAACTTTTCTATTCCTTTTATTGTGGACTTCTGATTAGGTAGGTGAAAGGTGCAGCATAAACGAAAGTATGGTGATAGGCATGAGGTGTAGCCATCAAGGGGATGGACCTGCAAGAGCAATGTAAGTAGTAGATGAAAGATGGGATGAGACTCTAGTCTCCAGCATATCTGTGCTTCCCTCATAGTCTTTAGTTTGGTACTTTTTCTGTTCATCTGCCTCTTTGGCACTTCCCTCTGCTTCCTTTTTCCTCTGTCCCTTTTCTTGGGTCATGGTCTAAGGCTGAGTCCTTGGTCCTCTGCTCTTTACCACCTTCACTGGCCACCCTTTGCACAAATGTTTTTCTCTACTCCTGTCTTATTAATGAAACATACTCAGATGGCATAAATTTCCTTCATACGTAACAAATCTAAATAGTTTTTATGGGGCTTGAGATAAAGCTCAGAGGTAGAACCCTGGCCTAGCCTATGTGGAGGCCCTGGATTTAATCCCCAGCACCATAAAAATAAAATAAGATAAAAAACAGTAATTGTTCTATACTCAAAGGACGGACTTAAAATCAGCATACTATAGTGACGTAGCTGCACCAATGTTTATAGCAGCTGAATATAGTTCCACAATAGCTAAACTGTGGAACCCACCTAGATGCCCATCAATAGATGAATGGATAAAGAAACTGTGGTACAAATACACAATGGAATACTGAGCATTAAAAGAGAATAAAATTATGGTATTCACAGGTAAATAGACGGAGTTGGAGAACATTATGCTAAGCAAAGTAAGCCAACCCCAAAAAACCAAGGTGGAATGTTTCCTTTGATAGTGGATACTGATCTATGATGGTGGGGGACATGGGAAGAATGGAGGAACTTTGGACTGGGCAAAGGGGAGGGCAGAGAGGAGTTACGAGGAGAGGAAAGAGGGTGGAATGAAATGGACATCGTTACCCTAGGTACATGTATGATTACACGAATGGTGCATCCCTACAGCATGTACAACCAGAGAATTGAAATGTTGCACTCCATTTGTGTATGATGAATTGAAATGTATTCTGATGTCATGTTCAACTAAGTAGAACAAATACAAAATTTTTTAAAAAACAGTAATTGTGTTTTTTCATTTCCTGTTGTTTCTTTCTTAGTCTTTTGACTAACAATACTACTATTTTCTTAGTCCTCCAAATTTGAGGGTTTTTGGGATTCCTTCTTTGTCTTAATCAGTCTCCAGATAATTTCAGTCATCCTTAGACTGACCTTTCTTCCCATGGTTACAACACTGACAGAACATTATAACCTCATCCTTATATTACAGATCCTGTTTTGACTTTTTACCCCCTTTCTTTCTTCCATCCATTATGTAGATTAAAATATTAATCTTTTCCTTGCTTCAAAATATAGTTTCCAAGCCAGGAGTGGTGGCACCACTTATAGTGCCAGTTTTTCAGGAGGATCTCTGGACCCTAGGAGTTCAGTACCAGCCTGGTCAACATAGTGAGACCCCATCTCAAACAAAACATAGTTCCCAAACTAGGTGTAAATTCCTTAGTTTGATGGTCAAGGTGTTTTATAACCTGATCTTACCTTATAGATTCATTCTGCTGGATTCAGAAAAGTTCCTTACTGTTCCCTTCTTAGTTCATCCTTACCTTCATATTTTTGTTCATGGTGTTCTTTTACTTTTCAGTAGTTAGTGTTTGTATGGAGAAATACTGCTTTTATTTTACCTCAATCCTCAGGGCATTTTGGAATCTCATTTGAAAAACAAAGCATCCTTAGCTGGGCATGTGGTGCACACCTATAATCACATGGACTCAGAAGGTTGAGGTAGGAGGATCACAAATTCAAGGCCATGCTGAGTGACTTAGCTCCTGGGTCAAAAATGAAGTGTTGGGGTTAGTGGTAGAAGGCCTCTGGGTTCAATCCCCAGTACCACAAAAAAAAAAAAAAAAAAGAGTTAAAGAAAAACAAAGCTTTCTAAGAAATTTCATTCTAACAAAGCTCTAATTAGCTTGAAATTTCTCAGTGTTTCTATTTAGTGAATAGCAAAAAAGCACAAATAGCATTTTTTCTCTTGCTAAATTTGGGAGTTATAATCTGAAGTAAAATTTCTTGTCTTGTTTTTCTCACAGACACTTCCAGCCACAGAGTGCCATTACACAAACCAACAAATTGGGAGAGGAAGATCCTGATATGGTCAGGTCGCTTCAAAAAGGAAGAGGAAATCCCAGAGACTATCTCGTGAGTGCTGAACTCAGTGTTGTAATCAGCTTGTGTTTCTCACTGATCTGTTTTCAGGGAAAACTTCTGAGTCCCGACTGTTTAAAATCTTTCAACCAAATTCAGAAATATTTTCACTTTGCTAATTGGTTTTTGGAAAATATCTAGAACAAAAACAGTGCTGGAAACCTGGTGCAGTGACACACGCCTGCTGAGGCAGGAGGGTCTCAAGTTTGAAGCCAGCCTCAGCAAAAATGAGGCATTAAGCAACTCAGTGAGACCCTGTCTCTAAATAAAATACAAAAATAGACCCTGTCTCTAAATAAAATTAAAAAAATGTGGCTCAGTGTTCAAGTTCTCCTGAGTTCAATCCCTAGTACCAAAAAAAAAAAAGTGCTAGAAAACTTATGTCTGTCAGATATTCCAAAGTAAGCTGATATTTAGCTTCATCTTCTAGTTACAGGAATGTGACTAAACAATAATGTTTACTTTTTTAAGTTTTTATATTTAATCTTGGTAAATCATGTTGATATCAGTGACAGTAACTATATATTCTACAAAATCCACTCAAGAGTTAGGCATAGAAGAGTTTCAGTGTAATACATTCTTTTTCTGAGAGGAAAAAAGAGTCCCCGCTGTCACTAACTTCCTTAAACATAGATTTGGCTATAATCCAGGACTTTTTCACTTCGTAGATAATGGAGCACAGGGTCCTCCAACCCAGGGTTTCTCAAACTTAGCACTGTTAACATTTTAGGATGGAATATTCCACTATAGGGCCTGACTTGTGTGTTGGAGGATATTTAACAGCACCCCTGGCTTTTACCCTTTAGAAGCCAGCATCACTCCCTTAGCAGTGAAAAAAAAATCTCTAGATATTGCCAAATATCCCTTGGGTGTCAGAATCAATACCACTTGGCAGCGGTGTTCCCAAACACCCTGACTGGTAGGCATCTTAGCCAGAAGGGGTTCTGAGAAGTACGTGCGTGCTCCTCTCTGGGCACCATCCTACTCAGAGACAGACTTCACACAAAGTTCCTGCAAGTTCTTTCAAGTAGTAAACTCTTCTGAGGCCTTCTTGTTGTCGTGATTGAAAAAGAACTGGGTTCATTGAGGAACTATTTTCCAGAAAGATAGTATTTATTTTCTCTTACAAAAGAATTTTAAATTTTTAAAATTTTTTACTTATTTATTTGAAATACAGTCTCACTGTATTGTCCAGACTGGTCTTGAACACCTGGGCTCAGGTGATCTTCCCATCTCAGCCTCCCAAGTAGCTGGGACTATAGGCTTGTGTCCCCTGCACCTAGCAGTAGAGCCCTTCTGCTCTGTCAGTCAGATTAGCACGTTATTTTCACTAGGGTTGTTTCAGCAGAAAAACCCTTGTCTGTGTTAGTTTAAGTGATAGTGTACTCTCCTGGAAAATAAGAGCACCCTAGAAATAACAGTGACATCATCAAGTTCTTGTCTGTGCTCTGATTTCTTTCTGAATATTCTAGCTGCTACACATTTTTCTAACTGATGGTGTATAGGCTTTGCTATGGAACACCTTCCCCAGCCTGCCCTTTAGTTGGTTCCAGGATCACCTCAGGTCTGAAATATTGTCTGTGAGTCACCCCAAAAGACTTTTTCCTGAACTCAGGCAACCATTTATCCTTGAGCTGGTAGTTCTGAACAGGTACTGCCTAACCTTATTGCTTCCTATGGGATGAATAACAATATCATGGCCTTACTTAAATGTATTTTACTTTTTTTTAAATGTTCCTTTACATGTAAAATATATCACTGTACATGAGGATCTCAGCACTTCAGCGGGACATACGAATTAACATAAAATACAGCCAAAATGGGTAGTAGTGTGATCTCAGATGCTCTTGAGTAATTCACTGTCTTTAGAAGTTGTTCTTGGTTTCTACCACTGCAGGCCCAGTTTTGGTACCTAGCGAACTCCTTCCACATTGCTGCCTTGTAGTTCCCAGCTCATATCATATTTAAGGGTCCTCCTCCTATCCACCTGCAACATTCCAAGCCCTGTGCCTCCTTCCGAGCATTTTTTAAAAACCATTTCCCCATCTGATTTTTCAAAATAATTGTGTTAAAGATGTGGGGGAGGAAAAGCTAAAAAGCACTCCAATTCCATCATCGAAAGATGATTACTTCCCTGTGTATACTTTGGAGGAGACCAGAAATTCTTTATCTCGGGCCCCCTTATGACTCCACATGCTGTGTGCCTTGAGATTCTACAGGCATCCAGGCAATAGAACCACTGTCTACCTACAAAATAACCAAGATAGAGTGGCTTTCTCTTTAGACTCTTCCATGTTATGCCCCTTGGCTTTCATCCAAGATGATGATCCAACCCCCAACTTTCTATTGGGGCACATGGGTGTACACTCAAGAGGACAGATTAGAAGAGCTACTATACTCCAGGCACTTGCCAAAGCAAACTTTCACTCAGTTTTAGCAAATCATTAGTTAAAAGATAAACATTAAGGGACTGTCACTTAAAGGATCTTTCTACAGGCTCATATATTCTCAAATCTATTCCTAGTTCAAGACAGAGCAAAAAGACAGATTATATAGAGCACATTGTTTGACTTTCTCATATTGGTTTTTCTTTCCGAATTGTACTTTGTGTTGGAAGCTCATAGCAGTATCTATTACCAAGGCATTCTTCAATCACTATATCACATATTTTCTTAAGAACCCAAAGGAGAATCAGCTAATGGTTTCATTTTTAGTGTTGGCTGCTGGAAACCTGAGAGCCAAAATTGGGGCTTACCATAGCAAAAGTAGTTTAATGTGCCTTGCTGGTTTGGGGGGTTGGGTTTTTTTTTTTTTTTTTTGCTTTGTTCCTGGCTCTTTCTTTATTATTGTCTTCTTACTTATTTTGAATTAAATTTTTGTTATCTTGCTGTTAAACACATAAATGAGTTATGAAAATGGCCCATCCTCCCAAAGAATCTATGAGATCTCCAGTTCCTACCTCCTTTTTTAAACGTTTATAGACACTTTACTTCTGAACTATGGTACACAGAACTTGATATTTTGCTGCAACTTCAGAAATAGAAAAGTTACTAACATTGTCTCTTGATCACATTGTATTATTAGGTTTGAGATGCTTGATGCTGCAAAGAACAAGATTCGGGTAAAGGTTAGCTATATAATGATCGCCTTGACAGTGGCAGGATGCATCCTGATGATTATCGAGGGCAAGAAGGTGAGACTGGGTTCCCCTGTGTCTGAATTCTCTTCACAAAGAACCAGGAGGAAAGCAGGGATTGACCCTTGTGTTTACTGACCAAGAAGAGGCTATTTTCTACACAAGAAATGATAGGAAACAAAAGACAAAGTGGGACAAACATGAGCTATTGTGTCAGGATAAATAGCAAGGCCTAATTTTGGCATGATGAAGAAATATTAGTTTTGTGTAAAAAAGTGTTATCATAGTTGTCATAAATAACATAAATAACATGAAACAAGAAATAGGACAGTGGCATTTTAAAGCACTTTGCATATTTATAAAGCACTGTCAGTACTTGGACTTATTTATCCTCACTATAACTGCCTTAATCATGATGAACATCTTATCATGATTCTTTATTTGAGGCTCAGCCAAATGTAGCCATGTTTAAGGACCACTGCTTCTAAATAGCACATAGGAATGAAAATCTAGAAATCTTTTTTTCAATAGATTATAATTAACAGCTATTGCTAATTGAATTCTTACTGCGTTCCAGATACTTGGCTATTATTGTCTCATTTGAACCTCACAGCAGCACTGTAAGATAGGTACTCATTTATAGATGAGGAAACTAGCCTGGAAAGCTTAAGTAACTTACCCAAGGCTACACAACTCCCTTATAACAGAGCTGCCTAATGGAAGTAGAGTAAAATTTTTCCCATTTATTGAGTGCTTACCATGTAGAAGGGTAAACTTTTAAGCTCATTTACTCACCATAATAATCCTCAGAACCTGAGATATAGTTTTCTTATTACTGTTTTTTAATAAAGGAAGAAATTGAAACTTAGAGATGCTCAATAATTTTCCCAAACTCAAAGTATCAAAGCAAAAATTTAGATCCAGATTTGCATGTTACCAAACCTCCTAGTATTTTATCTTATTAGTTATTTTTATATTCAGTAGTGCTGGTCAAAACTATCTTTTAATGTCTGGTACTATGTGTTACAGCTTCCATGTTGGAAGAGATGTCTTATAACTATTAACAGATACTAAAAAGATTCTTCTACACACCCATTGTTAACTATTTCCTTATCCTCAGTGACTTCAGAGTAAAAGGAAATGAACTTTTGGCTCTCTTTAGAGTCTTGCAGTTAAATGAAAACACTGCCCATTTTAAGCTGACCTCACAGGTGCACAAAGGGGCAAGAGTGCTGACCTAGGCCAAGTTCTCTTGAAAACACTGATGCTGTACCACTTCAGTTTTCCCTGTCTCCATCTTTGACCTCTCATGCATAGTTCTCAGATTGAAACCTTCAGAAGCTTCTGAAGAGGACATGTGGGTTTTCAGAATTCTCAGAAAAGTGCACTGCTTTTGTATATTTGTTTAAACTTGCTGAGTTTGTTTACTGCAGAAGCAAATATTTGGGATTTCTTTTCGCACCATCCAAGCCATATGTGCATGAGTTCCTCTCGTGTTCTATACCATACATCTGTTTATGTAAGTAAGCTCCAGTAAGGAGCTAGAAGAGTTGGGAAGGAGAAATGTAGCAACAAAGAAAAGTAAAAGGAGAAAAAATGGAAATTGAGAACGTACTTAATATCAACGAGAAGTGAAGAGGAAGGGAAGAAAAAGGGAAAAACAAGGGAATGAAAAATGTAAGGAAAAGAAGCTGCAAATCTATAGAAAGAGGCCAGAAAGGGAGAGGTTTACACTAATCTTGTGCTTAGATAGGCTACTGTAGTCTGGAGCATCACAGGATATAGAACACGTGTGGAGGACCCTGCTGTCCTCACTGTAAGATAATGACATTCTCTTCAACTTGACATAATCGCCTGTTCAAATTTACTTCATTTTAGGCTGCCAAAAGAAATGAGTCTTTAACAAGCTTGAACTTAGAAAAGAAAGCTCGTCTCAGAGAGGAAGCAGCCATGAAGGCTAAAACAGAGTAGCAGAGAAGCATCCGTCCTGGCTGGATTTTGAAAATCCAGGAATAATGTTGCAGCAAGCCTGTATTTAAAAGGATATGGTGAGGCTCCACTTCATCACTATATGTTTTGCACAGACTCTTTCCCTATTTTCTGCTATAGATATACAAATAAATTTTCTTAAAGACTTGTTTTATGTTTTATGGCTTTAATCCAAGTAAAATGCAGTCTCCCAGCTTTTTGGAAAAAATTTAAAAATGAGACAACTTACTTCAGCCTTAATATTAACTGTTAGAATCTGGTATCTGATTTATTACTTTTGTTCCCATTACTAAAGTGACTTCTCTCCAACAGCCAGAATGGCTTCTCATTCTGTATTTCTCCCTCTGGTACTTATTTCTAAAGGGTAAGGAGGATCAGATGACATTGCCCAGGTGATTACAATGCTATGGTGCTTTGGGGAGGCTGGCTCCTGAGAAGCAGCCAGACCTCACTGTATCTTTGGGATCTCAAAGATGAAGTTTCTTTGGAGAACATTATTTGAAAATGTTCTGGCAAGGTGATGAGAATGGTCTGGCCAGGAGTTTGGGGGACTTAGAAATTCTAGCATCATGGATTTGCTGGGGGCCACAGCAGTCACTTCCTAGCTCCATGGATAATGGTTCCCAATTGATTCCTTTCCTGCTGCCTGAGAAACTAAATTCCTTATGAAAATCTCATGTTCTTATTAGTGTGAAAGATGAGCCTACATCTCATTTAGTTTTGACTTTGGGATGCCAAGTTGTCTCACTTACATATGGATGATGGTTTCTATGATAACCACTTCATTATTCTCAATATGCCTCATTAGTATTAATGGATGTCAAGTCAGTATAGTCATCCCAATGTGCTAGTTCTCCTCAGTTATAATAGAAATTAAAAAGTAATATATGCTGCTGTTTGGGAGCTTTGTTTAATAAAATGCTAGGTATAATCTAACACATTATAGCTTCTTAATCTGATGTTATCTGTTTATATACTTTATTCTAGAGAAGTCTGACTTTAGCTTCCTTTTAGATATCACTTGCAAAGTTATCAAAAAGCATTGTTGTTCTAGGTGTGGGGCTTGGGAGGCTTGGGAGGCTGAGGCTGGAGAGTTCAAGGCCAGCCTCAGCAAAATCAAGCCCCTAAGCAACTCAGTGAGACCCTGTCTCTTAAAAATCAAAATAGGACTGGGGATGTGGCTCAGTGGTCGAGTGTCCCTGAGTTCAGTCCCTGCTGCCAAAATAAAAGCATTATTGTTTCTCATACATTTTAGAAGATTCATTTTTCTTGATTATTTTGGGACTCCTAAACCAGTGTTTTAAATTTGGGTAGATTTTAATGTAGTACTTCTTTTAAAAGTATTAACCTTTCTTCATAGAAACCATTTTTAACTGTTGAAGAACATTTAAATGTGATTCCTGTAGGTTTATTTTAATAAAAATTAAAAATGTCTCATTAAACTAATAATTGCTCATAATTGTTACCATTCACACAATCATTTCTCATTGTTATTCTCTATTTAATAACATACTAGGATTATTTTTTAGAAGTAGTTGAACATAATACCTTTGTTTTATTTTTATGTGGTACTGAGGATCGAACCCAGGGCCTCTCAAGTGCTAGGCGAGTGCTCTACCACTGAGCCACAACCCCAGCTCACTATGACTGTTCTTTATGGGTTAAATGTAAATTTCTTAGCCACAATTTCAGACCTGCCTCTAACACTAACACTATACTCTTCCCAATGTTCTCATATATCAACCTCTTTTTTTTTTTTAAGAGAGAGAGAGAGAGAGAGAATTTCAATATTTATTTTTCAGTTTTTGGCAGACACAACATCTTTGTATGTGGTGCTGAGGATCGAACCCGGGCTGCACGCATGCCAGGCGAGTGCGCTACTGCTTGAGCCACATCCCCAGCCCGATATATCAACCTCTTAACACTAATACCTGACTAGTAACTTATTCTTCAGAAAGCTCTCAGCACTCTACTAGTCACTATAATATATTCCTCAGAATTTGTCAAATACAATTTAATGAGCAATTGATGAGGTGCTATAAAATATAAAAGAAGCAAGACAGTTATGCCTTTATTGCTTTCAGTTAAAATTACTGTTGTACTAATTTTCGCTTAATGTCTAGATTTTTTTTTTTGTATTTGTTTCATGTCTGCATGGTAGAAACTATTTTCTACTTTATATTTTTTACCTTACATTTCCTGCAAGCTTTGGTGAATAAAGTTAATATGTGTGGCTAGGGTTAGACACTTTTTAATCAATAATGATATTATTGGGAATTTATTACTAAAACCTATTGAAAGGAGGCAAGGAATAAAGGAAGCTGTGGCATCACATTCATCAAACAGAATACAAAGGTGAATAATCAGCTCTGTGGGATCAAAACTTCCTGATCCCACAGAGCTCATTATCTGCTGGAAACATGGCCCATGAAAACATTATGACACATTGGTAAATAATGTATTTTGAGTTTTAGGAATTATAGAAAAAGCAAGAACATCTAATTCATCTGTCCACTGAGGTTGGAGGGAGACAGGCAGTGATGGCACAAGAAGTAACTTCTGTACAATGAATCTGAAGTATGTGAGTTAACAGGTAACATCCTGAAGGAGCGCAGCCTCACGACTCAATGTAGCATACATTGCCATCACAAGATGGCACTATCTAATGAGGCAGAGGTCCTTTAATTAAAAAATCAGGACTTACTTTCCCCAACTTACTGACATAATTCTATATACCGTTTCATGTTCCATCACATATCACTAAAAGTGCTGGAGGCACGTGACATGTATCTACAGTCTTCTTATTACCCACCCTAGCCTCATGCTCTTGTTCATTTGACCTCCCAAATCAGAAACTGCAAAATTTCTTGCCCACCTCAATCAGTCATGCTGTCTAATTGAACTATTTCCCAAGTAAACCAAGCCTCTACAAAAGTTACTAAGAGGAACAGAATAGAAACCTGTACAGGGACAAATATATCTGAGATTCCTAACAGGCATCAAGATTAGGAGTCAAAAGCCCCAGGTAGATTCTAGACTTGTTTTCACAACTGTCTTGTCTTGTATTCTTGAATTATAAATCTGTAAGTCTTATAATTGAAGGTAATTTTTTAAAAGAAATAAAAACCATACCAGTTAGAAAACCATCTTTCAAATAAGCTTTTTGCTAACTTGGCTTTAGTAGTTATTCATCCACAGTTTAATTGTTTTGTCATTTTCTAATGCTGCCGATGCAATGATGTTTTCTGTAGGATGACAAGCAGCTGAGATCACAACATCTGTATGACCTTGTAATTTCTGCACAATCTCTTTAGTTTGAAGGTTCCAAATGTAAACCAGGTTATCCTCTGAGCCAGACACAATCCACTTTCCACCAGTAACTGAAAAACTGGCAAATATGCAGTATTTCTCATTCTTATGACCAGTGTAAGTCTTCAGGCATCTGCCTCTGCTGTAATCCCACAGTTTAAGAGTATTGTTCAAAGTTGCAGTGAGAATATATTTACCATTTGGAGAAAATTTTACAAAAGAGACAGGAGGGTTATCATCATCAACAAGTGTTTTTAAACACTGACCTGAAGCAGCATCCCAGATTCTACAGAGACCATCATAACTACCCGACACAATCAAGGACCCATTACAATTAAACTGAACAGCAGAAATCGGGTCAGAGTGAGCAGATAAAGTCTTGAGGCACTTTCCTGTTTTCACCTCCCATATTTTCACACACTCATCAAAAGATCCTGAAATGATGAGATTGGATGGCGGATTGAAATTACAGCAAAAGACGTAATTACTGTGTCCCCTCAGTGTTTTCAAACATTTTCCAGACCTCACATCCCATATCTTCAAAGTTTTATCATCTGAGGCAGAAACAAGAAGACCAGAATCTGATGACCAGGCAACATCTGATATTTCCAGATTGTGACCATATAGTGTTTTCTCATATTTTCCATCATATGCTCCCCAAATTATAATCAGTTTATCAGCAGAAGAACTTGCTAGCCATTTTCCATTAGGACTGAACTTAACTGATGATACTGCTGCCGTATGCCCCACAAGAGTAAGTTTGAGAGCATAGTTAGGTTTTTCAGGCGCTTCCTTGCTGTGACTGGCAGAAGAGGGAAGGGTGGACTGTGCCAAGGCATCTCCTGGTTCCCTCGTCGCCATGGCTCGGAAGCCCCAATAGAGTAGGTTGACGTCCGGCCCTAACCCATGCAGTAAAAATAAATAAATAAATCGCAATTTAAAAAGTACACGGTTTTAATTAATACGATTTCAGAATCACCAGCACGGCTTCTAATACTTAAGTCGCCCCTGTCAAATACTCGCGAATATAATCAAAAGGATTCTGGCGCTGCCGGCAAGCCCGGTACTAAAGTTGCGTGTTTGGTTAAGGTATAGGGCGGTCCCAAGCGGAGGCGGTGGGAGGGGTTGCACAAAACTTCTTATCAAGCGCCCCTCCCCCACCCAGCTCCGAAGGTTGGAGAACACAGAGCCACCCTTCCAGTCTTGAGGGACTAAGTACTGGAGGATGAACAGACCACCACTTCAAACACAAGCTTTCGTAAGTTAAAAACCTACGTAGCCACCGGAACTAGAGGCTGGGGATGCCAAGGTTCCTTCCGCAATACCAACAGCCAGCACCTCAACGCCGCGTCAAACAAGAGTGGGAGGGGAAGCTGGGCGCAAGGGCTAAAAGGGACCCGTCCCTCCCCCAATCACGCCCGAACCGACGTGGCCAATAGGAGATGTCCGCCTGCGCCTGCGCCGCAATGTTAGTTTCCGGCCCTTTTCACTGGCGCCCCGCAAATTCAAATCCTTTCCTGGAAGGGTGGGAATCTTAACAGAATGTTTCCCAGACCTAATTTGACAGTTTGGGATTCAGTGGATCTTTTTTTTTCCCCCAAAAAAGAATATGCATTTCTTTTTGAAAAAATGAGTTTGTTGATGCCCCTTAGTCAAAGGCTTAGGCCCACCCTTGGCTCATAAATTACCCAAACTAGACACATTTCTGAAATGCGTGAAGCTTTGACCTACCCTTCGCCCGTGACTCTGTGCAAGCGCCTTCGCTGCAGATTGCTTTGGTTTTGCTCCTGCCTGGTGGCATTAGGGCCTATTTGACCATTATGCCATATTGAGTGGAGCAGAATTAATGCCCAGATTTTTTAAGATTTCTGGTTCAAAAAGTTTCCCCTCTAAATCTTTAGAAAAAGGATAAAGAATAAGTCTTGTTAGAGGTCTATAAGTCAATGGTATACTGGGAAAACCCAGCAAACGTTGGGTGAGCACTTTTGGTCTAAGAGTTCCTATTTCTTCAAAGGGGATTCAGAGAAGGACAGAGGTTGTTGCAATGGGGTAAGAAATGGGTAAGATTATTCTTAAATATGCTGTTGAGAGTTTCCCATAGTTTTAAGAAATTATCATGACCATGAAAGTATGTAAACTAGTTAAGATACCCTGTTAGCCAGGTGTGGTGGCGCAGGCTTGTAAACCCAGCTGCTCAGTAGGCTGAGGTAAGAGGATTGCTAGTTCAAAGCCAGCCTCAGCAAAACCGAGGCACTAAGCAATTCAGTGAGACCCTGTCTAAAATACAAAATAGGACTGGGGATGTGGCTCAGTGGTTGTGTGCCCGAGTTCAATAAAGTTTACAAAGAAACTGTAAACGGACTAGTTTCTCCATCCTTGTGATTGCTCAATTAGAAAGGAACTGAACATAGTTTCTTATGCCCAGCTCCTCCAGAGGTTGAAACAGGAGGATCATAATTTGGAGGCTAGCCCGAGCAATTTGGAGGCTAGCCCGAGCAATTTAGCGACAGCCTGTCTCAAAAATAAAAAGGGTCAAAGCTGTAGTTCAGTAGCCCAGAGCCCCTGGGTTCGATCCTCAGTCCCAAGGGGTGCCTACCAGAGATTGAGGTAGGTGTTGTTCTGTGTAAAGGGTTTTCCTGGTAACCAAGCTAAAGTCAGGGGGCAAATACATTTCTCTGTGGAAAATTAAAACTCATTTGGAAACAAACGGTCTCCTATTGCGTACTTTATTAGACATGTGAAAGTTTTGCCTTTATAAAGCACAAAAGGCATACCTGGCTAACTTGTAATTCATTAACTACAGTAAAAACATCATTAAAACATTATTATTCATCTCTCAGTTAAGTTGGTGAAACTGGCCTCCAACTTGTGCTCTTCCTGCTTAGCTTCCTTAAGTCTAGTTTGCAGGTGTGTGCCACCAAACCCAGCATCTATTTCCATTTTTGTTAGCTCATTAAAAGGCCAATTTAAAAGCAGCTGAGATTAAAAAAAAAAAAAAATTAAGCTTTTGTTTCAAAGAATGTTAAGAAAAATCTGTATTTCCCTAGTACATAATCACTGTTTATGTACTAGGGAAACTACTAAAACAGAAAAACTAAATTTGACAAAAGCTGAATTGAGTATTGGTGCTAGAATATATTTAATCCGCTACAGAAACCACAAGCATGAGGGAGAGGGACAAAATTAAGAATGTGTTAAGAGTATGAAGCCAATCAGCTGGGAGAGTGTCACAGGCCTGTAATCCCAGCAACAGGATTGCAAGTTCAAGTCTGGTCTCAAAACACACACACACACACACACCCCTACCTGGGGATGTAGCTCAGTGGTAATCTGCTCCTGGGTTAAATGCCTGACACAAAATCAACCAATCAACCACAAAAAGAATTTTCTCCAAAATTTGATAAAACTAAATCCACTTTTGAGATCTGGAATTTTGATTTTTTACAAACAACATCAGGAAGCTGTGTAAAGATGATAAAGAATACAACTATGATTTTGGTTAACTTATTCATTAATCATTTTCTAATATTAACAACTAGTCCTAATGTTGTATGTAGTCTTATGAATTAAAACTAAGAATTTCAGTTTGAATTCCTTTGAATGAGGAAATTGATGGCTAGAGTGTGGAGGAGTAAGGAATACTGACACAAGTAAATCCAAAATGCCAGAAATCATACTTTATGTGAGCTAAGAAAAGATTCTCTCACATTGTTAACCCCCCCCCCTTTTTTTTTTAACATTTTCCCTTAATTCTCATCAGACAGGTGATTTTAAATTTTCCTGCCCGTGGAATTCAACTTAAGTTTCCCATAAAAGTTTCACAATTTAAAGTCTCAAATCTACAATTGAAAGGTTTATTCCTCTTGCCCCTTACCAAATTGCAAATATTCTAAACAGAAATGTTGCCATGAACAGGGGACACTTAAATATTTAACATATTAAAATGACCCACTGATTTAAACTGGAACTGTCCCTAATAAACCAGTACAGTCACTGCTGACTTCAGCAGTCTCTTCTCATAAATCATTAACTTAATTTTGGAAAATTCCACTTTTTATATGGTAATTTACACCCAGGCCTGCCCAGGCTTCTCTCAAATCCTGTGCTATTCTCTTCCCACTGTGATCTTTTGAGTTTTCATTTTCTCTGTACCCATCACTTTATTTTAATAATCCTAAACCCAAATGGTAGATAAGGTATTGTGATTCTTACTATGGACCCTCCACTGCACTCTGCTGGTTTCCTCAGGTTAAGTGGATCTTGATAAAAAAAAAGTCAAGAATAATTTTATTTTTTGCAAAAACATTAATGATCACAAAAATGGCCACATATACTGATTGGAAATTAGAGACAATTACTTTTCCAAAATTCAAGTGAAAGAGGGCAACAATCACCCAAGCTGGCTTTAGCAAATTTGCTTTTGTAAACTTCAGGTCATATTATGTTTTCTGAAAAGCAACTACATATAAAACAGATGTTGAGACACTTGCTTTAAGTTTTTAATCCTAGTTTCAAACAATCGCATAAAAGAGTTCCTTTGAATTTTCTTTTGTAATCGAGTACCCTTTACTAACATCACAAAAATGCATGTTCCTTCATTTATTTATTGATGTCTACTATGTGCAAGGCACTCACCCATGGCCTGACAGACTGCATTCAAGTACAAAGAATCATTACAGCCCTTCCAAAATCAGTGTTAGAACACTCTGAAAAAGGTCATGGAGTGGCCAAAATAAGGTAAACAAAAATACTAAGCAAAAATACAGTAAAATGATACCTCAAAGGGATGATACTCTTTTAGGAAGGACACTATATTAAGTTCACATCCGTGGCACTGCTTCAGTGAGTAATTCTTCTTCATTTCAAAGGTTTTCCTTTTCTGTCAACACCTCCCTGTATTTGCATTTGAATGGAAAATCTCCCAATTATGTTAGTAAATTCAAACTCAATCATTTCCTTTTTTTGTAGGGATTGAACCCAAGGGCACATAATCACTGGGCCACATCCCCAGCCCTTATTATGAGTTAAGGGTTCACTAATTTGTTGGGGCCTAGCTAAATTGCTGAGGCTGGTTTTAAATTTGCAATCCTCCAACCTCAGCCTCCTGAGTGCTGGGGCTACAGGTGTATGCCACCACATCTGGCTGCCTTTTTTTTTTTTTTTTTTAAATAAACCTCTGTTGTACTTGTCTTGATGTACAGAGTTTTAGCACCAAACGAGGGGAAAGATATTTGGGCTGAGTGGGCCTACAACACCAGACTGTATAAACTAAAAGCAACTTACACCAGATGGAGTTGTTCTAAGGGAGCCAGAAAGCCAATGATGAGGAAGTCAGGAAGAATGGTCCTACAAAATGGGTTTGCCCACCTGTGGCTCCTGAAAGTCTAGTTGTGGAGTTCCTGGGCACAGAAAAGCACAACCACTGCTTTCTTTAAGATAGAACTTGGCAAGTCTTCTCTCCTCCCTTGGACAGTCAGTATTTAAGGACTGTGACCATGGAGCAAAGTAATTTCTTATGTGTCTTATTTTGTCATCTATAATACAGTGATAACTATCCACCTCAAAAAGCAGTTGGAGGATTAAGAAAATGGGAAAGTCCTTAGCCATAACATAACAGATGCTCACATAAAGACAAAGTGCCTTTGCCTTGACACCTTCAGAAAAACAGACTTCTTTACCTACACTTAGTAAAAACAGAATGGAACTTCATCTAGAAGTTTACCTTTGCTTACCTCAAGCTTTCAGATGTATTTTATACCCAACATAATTTGATAATTTTAATTCATATATAAATACCTTACTTTACCAAACATTATTCTGATGCTCAGGTATCCATTCTTAAAACCTGTCCTCTTTGGGACAATAAAGCATGTTATATTTTTCACATTACAGCCTACTTACTGTACTTGTCTGATCTGGCTTTCAATTACTTTTTTAAAAATTAACTTTTTTGATAGGAAAAGATAACCTAAAACATTTCCCAAATGGGCAGATATTTACTTAATCTGTTCACTTAATAGAAGGAAATGGTCCTATTAATTTAGTATGTCAAAATACTTAAATTTGAGACTTTCACATATAGGCACACATATCTCTACAAATGAGCAAATCTGGAATGTAGGAGGTAGCATATAATGTAAGTTGAAAGCAAACAATGCCTCTTTCTAAAAGTGAGCCCTTCTTTAGTGAACAGCATCCTAATACATCACAATTTCCAATTTACATAAAAAGCTACAATCCCTAAAACAACTATAATGACTTGCCATTGATAAAAGACAATTTTCACTCAAGTAATAAATAGAAATAAATCCTTTGACCTGAAGAAAATCTTTTTATAATAATGCCCCAAGATGGGGGATCCAACAGCCAAAATGTTTATTTTGAACTACAGAAATAATTTAAAGTTGCCTGCAGGTAGTCATTGACAAGAAGATTTAGTTGCCATATCTGGTTGATGAAATATACTTACATACTTTTTTCTTAGGCAAAAATCAGCAGCAACCTGGAATAATTCAGATTTATTAAGGGAAAACTGCTAATTTTTCCTCTGTAACAATAAGGCTGAAAACATCCCAGAGTCAAATCAGTTTTATCAGGTATATGAAGAAACAATCCTAAGACAACAGTCTTCAAAAGCAGTACTACTGACATAGGCAATAACTAAAAAGGATTTTGATAAGTGACAACATAGTGTTCTACTGAGAATTCTGTCTCCTCAATCTTTTCTTTATGTCCACCATCTTTACATTCCCTGGTATTTTTCCAATCAACCATTATCTATCTGCTGGTCCTTCAGATATCAGGTGCTTTTACACCCCAAATTCTCTGAACACTTTTCTCTCCCCACCAAAGTTCTCATTGGAAAGAATATACTTTCAAAGTTTGAAGGAAGGGGTCAGGGGAGGAAAAACAGCCACTTTTCCTCATCAGCATATAAAACTAAAATTTTTCTTTTGTTGAAATCAATATACTTCTATAATGAGTAACACACTTTTGTGATAAAAATATAAGTCAAACTAAATAGAATCTTCCAGAGAAATAAAATAGGATTTACAATTACCCCTTAAAATGCCATTTCTAATATCAAAAAGGCTGATTTATCAATAAGTACAAGCACATGTGAATTATGCTGTGATATAACTTGAGTCAATTTCAATTTTTATACTTAAAAAAATAAAAGCTTAGTTCAGATCTTAAGGTTCGTGAACTTTTAGGACCACAGCAAGGTAAATTTTTCTGTTTTAAACAAAACAGATCACATCAGTTAAATGGACTTTTTTTGTTTTAATTCATTCATTGAGACACCTGCTATTGTTAGCAAAAATTCCCACCATACACTACTCTTACTAATGTGGCAATACACTTGGTGTGCTTTATATTTTCCATTCAAATTGGTTTATAAAATGAAAAAAAAATTAACTATCCAATAGAAGATACATAATTCAAAACATCCTATAGAAATGACGTTACCAGTAATTTACAATTTAAAAAAACTCAGCCACAAAAAAAAAAAAATTCAAAGCTAAAAATGAGATTTTTACTATGAATCAGTGCTTCTATTATCCTTCTGAAAGAAGTCATATTTTAATGTGATGTAAAGGCAACATTGAAAGTTCTTCTTTAAATTAACCACCTAATTTATCCCTAAAATTACAAAGAATCAAAGTCTTTTACAAGTCAAGTGCAGTAAACTAAAAAGTTCCTCAGCACAAAGCAGCACTAGAAAAAGTAACAGTATAGATGAGAGTTGACTAGTTTTGCTGTGGCTGCTCCATCAATAACAACAGACATCAGACGTATCCATCCCCGAGCACAGACACAACTACAGACTAGAGGCGAAGAATGCGTCACTCTTGGCTGATAAATGTCCTTTGTCTTTGAATCTTTCTAGTTTGAATGAAGTGGGCTTTTTAAAAGTTTAAATCAGGTCACATAAGTTGGCTGTTTAAATAACATCATGATGAGGTATGAAAGCTCTGAAAATCTCCTACATTCAGCAGGATTTATCAGAGATGTATAATAGCTTGTCAGGGGCAACTTCCAGATAGATTTTACACTTTGGGGTTATGAATTCTAGAAGAGGATAAGTCTAAAGAGGTTTAAAAGGGTATGCTCTGAAACAGAAGTCAGCAACTTTTCCTTCAGAATTCATTTTGAACAGAATCATCATCAAAAAAATCTTCTCTGATAGTGTATCCCAACATTGAGTCAAGATGGCCAACTAGCACCGAGAAGTCGTATTGAACTCAGTTGCAGTTATCTTGGCAATTAAGCTTATATTTTCATTCCAGTCCAAGCACAAAATGTGGATCAGTGAACACAGTACTGGAAGCGCCATTTGCAGGTATAGATTGCAGTCATCATTAAATGAGTCAGAAGGTGGACACCATTTTTATTGGGGGTGAGGGTGGGAGTTGGTACTAGTAGACGAAATAAAATTATTAGGGAACAATGAGGTTATTAAAAAAAAAGATCACTGCCCTTATTTGAATTAAGCATGTCATGTTGAGAAAAATGGTTGTTTTTCTTAAGAATGCTACATTACAGGGATCATATATGCAGCCGGAGTATATCAGAATCAAGCTGCACTTGACTAAGAAAAAAAAATTCTTAAGTATTCTTTAAAATAATGTGTTATCTGCCAGTCACAGAGGGGGAAAGCACCTAGGGTTAACTCCAATTTACTGAGGACCTTGATCAGGACCACAAAGCCTGAAATATTTGTTGTAATGCAGAAACACAGCCTCTAGTCATCTGGGTTAAGTCTGAGAAAATTGGAAGGTTCAAGTCCTTTTATTTTTCCTCCTTATTTTGTAACTGAATTATAGGATATGTTTTTTGATTACTAAGAACTCTAAATCTTCATACCAGCATTAGAACTGAACCACTTCCAAATCCTAAGTCACACAAGACCAAAGAGAAGCAAAAGCCATACAAATTAATACGTGCTCCTCTTTTTTCTGCTTTAAGGGAATCTGCAAACCAGTATCACATTTAAGAGTCAAAGTGTTAATTCTTCAGCATTCCTGACAACTAGAAAGCATTCACTGAAGGCTGAAGGTAAGGGAGTGGATGGTTTAATTTTAATATCTGAAGAATGGCGCCAATAGAGGAAAGAAAACCATCCAATCTTAGTAAGAATTAATGCAAATTTGGCTAGAAAAAGCCACCAGATAATCCAAGGGTTCACTGTGGAAGAACTCATGAAAAGTACTCTGAAGTGTACACAACAAGTCTAAACATCTCCCTTGTCACAAGTAGTTGTGTGAAATTCAAGATAAAGGTTTAGTTTTATCTTTTAATGTCAGTATTTGTTTCCCACTTTAAAGGGAATGAGGAAGAGTCCTTTTTTCTCCCCCACAAAAAAGGGAGCCACATTAATATATATATATATATATATATATATATATATATATATATATATACCCATGACTCTAATATAATTGCGGATCTCCAAAGCCTAGGGATTTTTCCATTAAAGTGGGCCGTTCTGGTTACCCTATTATTATAAGGGTATTCCACCACAGAGAGCCAGAGGTTTTCCAGATGTGTGTAAGAGAGCAGGTGCGCAAGGCAAGCAAATGAGCGCAAACAGTATTATGGAAAACATTTGAAAAGTTAGCTCCATGAGGACTGTGGGCTCCACAAGAGGACTCGACTGGGTAGCCTGGTCTGACACAGGAACATGAAAGCAGTATTGCTTCAAAGCTGGAAACCTTCCATAGGAGCCTCACACTGCTGGAAGATGTACTGCTGCTGGCTAAGGTCAACCTGGGGAGCAATGCTGCTGTCCTCATCTTCGGTCCCAAAGTAATGCTCAATAAGATCAAAGGCCTTCTGGTAGATCTCCTGGTTTTCATGACTCTGTAAGAACTCAATTTTATCCAAACCTAGAACAAAGAATAAAGAAAAATCTTTATTGGAATTTCCAATAAACTATATTTTACCATGTCTTCTTGATATAAATGAAAATTTTCTTATGTTTTATAATAGTACTGAAATATTGCTAAATTATATCTAAAAGCTAATATTATAAACTGACTTCTTAAATATATGTATGTAAGCAATAGAGTCTGTAGAAATAGCAATTTCCTTAACAGTCACCACATCCTCCACTACCTAGTAATATTAATGTTATTATTGGACTGCATCTATGACCTAATTAATTCTTGGCCACAATCTTCTTCACTCAAAGCATCTTACCATAAGCTTCTTCAATCAAAGCACAGTAAGGGTTAATGCCAGTGCCATTCCTTTTTGCTTCTTGTTCTCCAAGCCTCAAGATATTTTCCAAGCCATTAAGGGCAACCTGTACAATCTTAGAGTCCATGACAGTGAGGAGATCACAGAGCGGCTTGATACAACCCAGTTCTACTAGGTACCTAAATTAATACAAAAACCAATTTAGTCAAAACAAAATTTTTAAATTTGTAAAACTGTTATGAAACTGGTGAGTCATCCTCAAACTCACTGTAGAAATAAAAATAGGTACCCAGTCAATTATACACTTCATCACCAAAAAAAAAAAAAAGCTATTAAAAAATTAACCAAAACTAGTTCTCCAATTTTTCTCTTCACAATTTTTGGACTGTAAGAAATAAAAATTCTTTCCTACCTTGAATATAAGCAACTAATTAATTAAAATAGCATAGTTCTAATAGACTGTCTTTTTGTTTCTATAGGAAACCACACTTCCCAAACATGAACATTTGGTTCTAAAAGCCAGCACAAACCCAGGAGGCCAAATAATTCAAATGTGATTAGAATTTTACTAAGTTGTGAGAAGACTAGGAGGAGAATAAAACAAATGTAGGGAGAACTCTTGAGCTAGAATTGATAGTTCCTTTAATTCAGGGAGAATTTTTTTTTTTTTTTTTTTTGAGAGAGAGAGAGAGAGAGAGAATTTTAATATTTATTTTTTAGTTATCGGTGGACACAACATCTTTGTATGTGGTGCTAAGGATCGAACCCGGGCCGCACGCATGCCAGGCGAGCGTGCTACCGCTTGAGCCACATCCCCAGCCCCAATTCAGGGAGAATTTAACAGGTAATCAGGATTAATCGTAATAATTACTCCTATGACACACAAAAAAATCACAGTCACGGCATATATTGATGTCATTTTTGTATCATTCTGGTTTCCAAGTTATGTATAGAAAGGGAGAGATAATGAATCCAGATGCATTCTGTGGATGTGAAGAATGTCATTTTGGAACTTACTGCTAGTGTACTATACTACTTTCTACTTTCTCAGATTACTTTGCTTTTTCAATTTCAAAAATATATAAAAATCAATCTCTATCCAGACAAACCAAAAACAGAGAAAGGAGGAAGACAACGATGATAACAAAATTACTAATATTGTAAAACAGAAATATTACTGATGCCATGGACATTAATAGGATAATAAAGAAATAATACAAATAACTATGCCCACAAATATGATAACTTAGATGATGAAATGGACCAATTTCTTGAAAGAAAGAGACTACCAAAACTCACACAAGGAGAAATAAGTAATAAGAATAGACTAAAATGTATTAATCGATAATTAATCCTCCGAAATAGAAAGCACTACAATGAGATGATTTCATGGTGAATTCTACCAAACATTTAAGGACAAAGTGATACTAGTATTCTATGATGTCTTCCATAAATTAGAAGCAGAGGAACACTTAACTCACTCTGCTAATAAACTAAACAGACATTACAAGGAAAATTACAAGTTAATCTCTATTAAGGCCATAGATGCAAAAATCCTCAACAACATATTACCAGATAAAATCCAGCAATATGTAAAAAGAATTATACATTAAATGGGATTTTTTTCCAGGTATGCAAGGCTGACTCAACATTAAAAAAAAAAAAAGTAATCAATCACATCAACATATGATCATTTCAATAGATGCAAAAATATAACACAATCTAATACTCATTCACAATTAAAATATAAGATGCAGCAAAATAGGAATAGAGGAAAATTTGTTAACTTGATAAAGAATCTCAACAAAAGCTATACAGGTAACACTATACTTAATGATGGGAAAGACTGAGAACATGGCAAGGATGTACTCCCTCACCACTGCTACTCAACATTGCACTAAAATCCTAGCTAATACACTTATTTTAAAAGGGGGCAGGGGAGAAATGAGGGAAAAAAAGAAGAGAAAGTTAACAAGACTGGGAAGGAAGAAATGATCTTTGTTTCCAGATATCTTCAGTATCTATGCAGAAAAGCCCAAAGAACTGACCAAAACCTCCCATACTAACAAGCAGTTAGGGTAAGGTTGCATAGTACAATGTTAATAAAATTCGACTGCTATCCTATATACTAGTAATGAACAACTATAATGTGAAATTTAAAACAATATCATTTATAGTAGCATTAAAGAAGTACACATCTGACAAAATATGTACAGGATCTATATGAGGAAAACGTCAAAATCTTAAGATCTAAATAAACAAAGAAATGCTCCATGATCATAATAATGATCATGGACAGGAAGACTCAATATTGTTAAGATGTCGCTTCTTCCCAACTTGATCTATAGATTCAATGTGATAATTCCAATTAAAATTCCAGTAAGATATTTTATAAATACCAACCGACTCTAAAGTTTATATGGAAAGGCTAAAGACCAGAATAGCTAACACAACACTGATTAACAAAGTTGGAGAACTGACAATTCCCAGCATGCCCCAAAAGGTAAAAAGAAAAAGACAATCACATAGGAAAAAATCTTGGCAACCTTGGGTTTAGCAACACCAAAAGCTTAATCCATGGAAAGAAAAAAATTAATTAATCTAGACTTTATTAAAATTAAAATTTCCTGCTCTATAAAATATTCTATTGTAAGAATTAAAAGATAAGCCACAGACTGAAAGAAAATAATTGCAAAACACATATTTAATAAAAAGACTGGTATCACAAATATTCAAAGAACTCTCAAGAAGAAAAATAAGAAACTCAATTAACTTACTGCTGGTCAGAATTCAAGATGAGATACCCAATATGGAAGATAACCTGGCAATTTCTTAATAAATTTCTTTTATCGGTGATAAAGTCAGTTTGGTTTCTGTAATTTGGACTAATATTTTTTAAAAATTATTTTTAATCTTTATTTTTTTATTTTATGATCAAATCTATTGTCTCATGCATGCCAGGTGAGTGCACTACCACTTGAGCCACATCCCCAGCCCCTGGACTAATATTTTTACAATAGTCTTTTAAGATAACACTTCATCTGGGTACAAAGAAACTGCTATTAGATTAATAATTAACTTCATTATTATAAATATGCCAAATTTTAAAAACCAACTGTAGCAACTCTACTCTTCTGTAAGAGCAAAATGCTCCCAAAGTAATTTATAATGAAAGATAGAATGGTATTAGCAATATTTTAGAAGAATGGTATTAGAATATTTCATTAAGAAAGTGCATCAGGCATAGGGGCAATGAAAATAATAATTTAAATTACTTCAGGTTATTCTCATTTGTGTGGCTCACTTAAAATCACAGTACCCTGAGCCAGGGTTTGAAAAAGACCTTAAAAAGACAATTATGCTTCTGAAGACCATTCAAAGCCTTACACCTGAATAGCCTGTCTTATGATGAACTTTATCAAAATAGCTATCTCTTTATAGTTCTATTATTTCAGACACATATTTCTTATCTTCTCGACCTAAACAATTTCTGCAATTTGTTAAGAGTAATTTTTATTTTATAATTTCAAACAGAGATTTTAGGCATGTGTTGAGTGCCTATAGTCCACATGGCAACAATATAAAAGTAGTTATGTTTGTCTGGTATCATTTATAAGGAAGCACTCTTTGGAGCCATAATCCCTTCATCTGAACTCCCCACTGAGAAAGCTAAGGCAACTGAGTGTGGTGGCACACACCAGTCAGTAATCCAGATACCTGGGAGGCTAAGACAGGAAGAGAGCAAGATCAAGACCAGCATGGGCAATTTAAGGAGACTCTGACTCAAAAAGTATATTAAAAGGGTTGGGGATATAGCTCAGTGATAGAACCCTTGCCCAGTGTGTTCCAGGCCCCGGGTTCCATAAGGAAGAAAGGGAGGGAGTGGGTGGGGCAAAGAAAGGTTCCATTTTTCTCTACACCACTGTCCACTTTCTTTCATTGGATGTCCAGAATTTAATGTTTAATTGCATAATGCTCCCTTGAAAAACTGATTCCCATTTTATTTATGCATTCTCTAGAGACCATGATTATAAATCACTAACAAGGAAATCATTTAAGTCTCAAGCTACAACAAATTTTTCTTCTTACTGAACACCAAAGTACTTTAGAAGATACTTGCCTCTAAGAATATGGTACTTCATTCTAGGACATATCTCTATTTCAAGTATGATCTAATTCTACCATTAAGACATCTCAAGTAGAAATATCAAGAACTGGTGAACGATTATATTTGGGCTCTGAGTTCTACAAGTAATAACCCACACTATCTAAGATGTTCTGACCAAGTAGCTTCACAGCAAGCTGAAGCTCACCTGTAAGTATTTCTATTTCATCAAACCTTGACTGTGCCTTATTTCTCTTATCCCAGAATTATTTTCAGCAAAAAAGAATAAAATAGGTGTAAGAAATTAAATACACATTTGAGTCTAATTAGACAAAATGAACAATAATTCAAAAGGCCAGAATTAAGCATTCTTATTTAATACAATCATCTTTCACCTTATTCCTCAAATGTAGTCAATTTTTCATTCTACATAATATTGGGGAGGGAAGATGTAAAAACAGCAATGATTTTTCCTTAATTTACAAGACGCTGGCTAGTACTTACTTGATCTGTTCAGCTGATCCTCCAGAAGTTGCATTTGTGATGGCCCAAGCAGCTTCTTTCCTTGTCCGAAACTCAGCAGTTTGCAATATACTAATAAGAGCTGGAAAGATGTTGGCATCTATCACAGTCTGAAATTAAGAAAAAATTAAAATTGGAAAAGGAAATAAGATTTGTAAAAATATTCCTAATACTAATTATAACTTTTAAGTTTACTTCACTAATGACACCCTTCCCCTGTTAAAAATAAATTGGAAGGGGGCTGGAAGTGGTAAAGTGGCTACTACCCAGCACATATGAAACCCTGCGTTCAATTTCCAGCATCATACTGGCACGCGCGCACTCACACACACACACACACACACACAGCCTGGGGATGTAGCTCAGGATTAAAGTCCTCCAGGGTTCCACCCCCAGGACTGCAAAATAAATAAATGAATAAACATATACATATACATACCCCCCCCCACACACATGTTTGTATGTGTATACACACACAGACACATATACACACAATAATTATAGATATGAAGGAGTACAATCCTCATTATTCCTGTTAAGCTACTCCCTAGTACCATAGATGACAGCCTCTACGGAGTCTAAAAATCTTAAAATCTCCCTTAGTTCTTTTCTTTTTTATTATCCTCTGTTGTTTTATTCCATGTAACAATTTATAAAAGTTCGATTCTCTGTTCCTCTGCTACTCTCATTCTGTTCACTGCATACATTCCTGCTGGTGTGCTGTTAATTTTCCAGTCCTTCACTTGTCACTGAAGCTATAGCCCAGGGTAGCCATCAACTTACTGTAGGTCTGATATTCATCTCAAACACATCATCTTTCCTATCAGGTCCCCATTTAAATGTTTCTAGTTCACAAAGGCTATTTATTTCTGTATTCATTCTAAATTCAGTCAGTTACCAAGTTTCCTTATCATTCTCACTTTGAAACATTCCAAGACTATTTTTTCTTTTTCCTTTATGATCATTGTCACCATCATATCCCAAGCTACTACTCCCAATAAAATTACCACAATTCCCTTATTTGTATTTAAGGACCTATTATCAGGACAGAGTACTTTTATTCAACCCCACTCAACATATTAACACTGAAGTAGTTTGCCCCAAATTGCTTTTGTCATGTTCCACATTGGCTTAAAAAACCTGAAGTATGTTTCCATAATTTCTCCTAATCAAGAAATTGAGAACTGGTATATTCGAGCCTGGTGATAACAGGCCATCAACTACAGCTGAAATTTCAGAGGCACACTATAAATTGCTAGAGCTATGAATCTCAGTCCCTAATTCAATTTTCTGGGGATGACTAACAATGCTTTCTTGGTCAAGAACATCTTCTACTATACCAGTGAAGGAAGTCAGCAAACGTTAGTGGAAAGACACCCAATTCTAGTCCTTTCATTTACTGGAGATGTACCTGAGCATACTATTATAGTTCTCTGAGCCTCAGCTTCATCTTTTTTTTTTTTTTTTTTTTTTACTTTTATTTGTATTGATACATAAGCCTCTAAATCTGTATTCTAAACCATTATGGCAGCCTTGATCACAGCTCATGTTGAACATTAGCCCACTGCTTGTCTTCCTCTTAGGTTACTCTCCCAGTAACAGAAAAGCAAAAGTAAAGGGTAGATAACCATTTAAAAAACCATTTAAATAACTGTTTAGTTGGCAAGAGTAAAGCCAATCTGTATAACATAAAGTCCATTAAAATACTTCAAAAATTCAATATACTTTTTTCTGGATGTTGGGTAAGTCATCAAATATTAACGACAAAGGGGTAAATCAAGGCCTAAGTAAAAGTTTCAAAAGAATAAGCATTTGTAAGCTAGAAAGAAGAAAATAAGAAGCAGACTATGAAATAGCAACAGAAGATAGTGATTTTCAAAGCAATAATAAAAACTATGTATTTTAAAGATTGAATTTTAAAAAGCAAAGAACTTACCAATCACTAACAGTGTAAGAAATAAAGGTGCTATGAGATTACCTGGATCTGTGCCCTATTTCCAGCTGTGATATTAGATATTGTCCAACATGCTTCCTTTTTGATAGATTCCTTTGGGCTACTCAGCAAATGCAATAAACTCTGAAGAGCGGAACAATTCAAAATTACCTAAAAGGAAAAGTTTAAAAACTTTTAACTTACTGTATTGTTCCAAATGAAAGTAAAATTTTAATTCACAGAGCTACTTTAGGAAAAATATAGATACAGAAATAACACCTCCCCTTGAAATCTAAAAAATAAGTAATATACACACATTAGTAAAAATTAATTTCTAAGACTTATTAAACTAGCTTCATTGTATACTTTCACAACTACTAAAAGTCATACTTAATAAAACACAATGTTAGAATTAGTAATTATTAGTAATTAGGATTATTCATTCAGCTCCTGTCTCTACAGGTATGTCTTCTGGATGGGTAAACATATTAAGTGATAAGAACAGTAGTCTCAGATTTTGAAATCCTCTGCTAACTTTCTATCTTGCAGTCAATGAACTAATACATACTTAATGAAGTATAACCAATACATACTTAATGAATTAATACATACTTAAAGAATATGAGGATAAAAAAACATGGAACCAGGTATCAAATAGCTCACAAAGGCAAGGGAGGTAAAACAAATAACCCACATATCTACTCAGAGGAAATTACAGATTTGTAACAGAATGTTAGTGAACACCAGGAAAAGAGCAGTATATTAAAATGTACAGCAGTACATATGATTGCATACAATAAAAATACCAGATAGTAGAGTTACGGGTGACTTTCATTTGATAATTTTTCTATAATGAAAAAATATATTTTACACTGAATCAAAACAAACCTTGAAAAAAAGTATAAGAGATGTCACAAGCAATTTAAAAAATGCCAAAGAAATGGTCTGGAAAACAAACATGTCAGAAATTTAAAAGAATACTTGAAGAAGAATAGTCAAGAAAAAAACTTCATGGAAGGAGCCTTGGAATGCACACAAGATTTCTGAACCAAAGAAGAAGGAGGATGCTGGGCCTAAAAGCTAGAAATAGAAAAGCCTGTATTACAAACTACAGTTAAGAACAAAAAAAAAAAAAAGACAACAAAAAACAGAGGCATGATGGTGCACACCTATAATCCCAGTGGCTCAGGAGGTTGAGACAGGAAGATCAAAAGTTCAAGGCCAAAGGAACTGAACAGACACTTCTCAGAAGATGATATATAATCAATCAACAAACACATGAAAAAATGTTCAACAATCTCTAGCAATTAGAAAAATGCAACTCCAAAACATTCTAAGATTCCATCTCACTCCATTCAGAATGGCAGCTATCAAGAATACAAACAATAACTGTTGGCGAGGATGTGGGGGGAAAAAGGCACACTCATACATTACTGATGGGACTGCAAACTGGTGCAACCACTCTGGAAACAGTATGGAGATTCCTCAGTAAACTTCGAATGGAACCATCATTTGACGCAGCTATCCCACTCCTGGGTTTATCCAAAGGACTTAAAAACAGCATACTATAGTGACGCAGCCACATCAATGTTTATAGCAGCACAATTCACCATAGATAAATTGTGGAGCCAACCCAGATGCCATTCAGTAGATGAACAGATAAAGAAAACGTGGTGTATACACACACACACACACACACACACAATGGAATATTATTCAGCTTTAAAAGAGAATAAAATTATGGCTTTTGCAGTAAATGGATAAAGTTGGAGAATATAATGCTAAGTAAGCCAATCCCAAAAAACCAAATGCCAAATGTTTTCTCTGATATAAGGAAGCCAATTCATAATGGGGATGGAGGCAGGGGTGCAGTTTAGGAGGAATAGATGAACTTTAGATAGGCCAAAGGGGAGGGAGAAGAGGGGGTATGGGGTAGGAAAAATGGTGGAATGAAACAGACATCATTACCCTAAGAACATGTATGAAAACACAAATGGTGTCACTATTTTATGTACAACCAGAGACATCAAAAATTGTGCTCTATTTGTGTAATATGAATTGAATTGCATTCTACTGTCATATATAACAAATCAGAAGTGGTCTGAAAAACAAATCAGTATTGAAAAAAAAAAAAGTGCAAGGCCAGCCTCAGCAACCTAGTGAGGCTCTAAGTAACTTAGTGACATCCTGTCTCAAAATAAAAAACAAAAAGGCTGGGGATGTAGCTCAGTGGTAAATTGCTCCTGAATTAAATCCTAGTACCCCCATCAAAGGCCCAAAAAAGAGAACAAAAGAACAGACTACTAGTAGGAATACTACTAGTTCTAAATGCCAACTAGAAAGAATGAGAAGGTCCTTCATCTCATAGCCATTAAAGAAGCTCATTGTTTCCAACAGTAAAATAAATGATGTCAAGGAGACTATTTTAGGAAAGATGAAGCTATTATTAGGGGGAATAAATAGAGTAACTTGGGATAGTAGGAAGATAAATCAGATGGGCATGTCAAAAACCTTTGTGTGAAAAAAGGGGGAGAGAACCTTTGTGAGGACAAGGACCAAAATATGGTAATCATAAGTGAATCTAGCAACAACAGTAAGAATCAACAAGACTTGGTAATTTGCTATACAAAGTAAACAGAGAGAAGACACTAAAAATGACCACAAAGTTTAGAATTAATCAAAATAGAAAAAATTGGGGCTGGGATTGTGGCTCAGTGGTAGAGTGCTTGCTCACCCAGCACCTGTGAGGCGCTGGGTTCAATCCTCAGCAACACATAAAAATAATATATAAATAAACATGTTGTGTCCAACTACAACTAAAAATGTTAAAAAAAAAAATCAGGACTTGGAACTTGCTTTGGAGGGGAAAGAGAATACACTGGGAAACAACGTGAGACATGCAAAAAATATCTAACAGGACCTGGAGACATGAGACAGGAACTTGAAAGAGGTCAGAACTAGATTTATAGATTCAGAATTTCATTCCATTCAATAAATATTTTCTAAAATTAACATGACTGACAGTCTACCTCCAACATCTTAAAATCCAAAACTTTTGACAGTTACAATACAGTGTGATTAGTGCTCTTATAAAACAAGAAGGACCTAACTGAAAAGTGTGGGATCAAAGCTTCCCAGAGAAAATAACTTTTATTAAGATGTGAGAAATGAGCTGGGCATGGTGGCGCATGCCTGTAATCCCAGTGGCTCAGGAGGCTAAGACAGGAGAATCACAGTTCAAAGCCAGCCTCAGCAATGGCAAGGCGCTAAGCAACTCAGTGAGATCCTGTCTCTAAATAAAATAGAAAATAGGACTGGGATGTGGCTATGGTTGAGTGCCACTGAGTTCTATGCCCAGTATCCCACCCCACCACCACACAAAAAAAGTGAGAAATAAGAAAACTTTACAAGCAAAGTGTGGGTATGTGTGAAGTGGCATTCCTGGCATGGGTGGGTGATGGAGGCAGGTGTTCTATGCACAGAGAAGAAAGTATGTATCAAAACTCAGAGATAAGAGTTCAAGAACAAACATGACTAGAACATAAGAGTATGTGGTAGGAGTGGGAGATGTAGAAACTTTTTTGGGAGTGGGGGGAGTGCTCACAGTGAATAAACCTAGGGCCTCACACGTGAGAAGAAATCACTGAGCCACATCCTCAGACCAAGAAACATTTATTTTTGAAAAGAAAATACACTGATATGGTTCAAACTTCAGGAAGTATAAAGGACTAAATAGTTAAAAGACACCTTTCTATTCCTGAATCCAAAACATCCACTTCTCCTCAGAGACAACCAATGTGAGTTTCCTATTTCCTTCCAGAGAAATTTTATTGAATCATATATTCTTTTCTTCTTCTTTTGTCTAAAATATCTAAACTAAACACTGCAAGGGGTAAACAAAAATGGAGTAATAAATAGGACTTAGAAACTGGCAGGTGGAAGAGAGGAAGAATCAAGTTGCTGCCCAGGTTTCTGGCATGGACAACTGTTTGTGCCATTTACCAAGACAGGAAACAGAAGCAGAGATTCAGTATGCAGTAGGAAATTAGTTCCTTCGTGGGCAGAATAAATTGGAAATAGATATTACAAGCGAAACACATTTCAGAAAACAAATCTAAACTTAATTTTAGAAATGAGAAAAGTAAAAACATTAAATGCTTTGCTAAAAGGTGGAGCCAGTTAAGAGCAAACTAAGGATAAAACGTAATTCCCAATTCTCAATCCATGCACATAAAAGTGATCACTGAAATTATAAATAAGGTTTATGAATGCATACAAACAAACGAAAACAGGAAAAAGAATTTGATAAAGGGAGGAACAGATGGCTGATAAAGCAAAGAAGCAAAATTTCAACACTCAGAAGCCTAAAAGATAATTTTAAGACATTGTTATCAATGCATCTGAGACATCTGAAAGAAAAACCGGCCAGAACAATCCACTGAGAATGTGTCTTGATGTCAAAGTAAATGGATACTAGAAGCCAGGAGAAAGAACCTTCCTTACATAGAAGACTTATCATGTACCAAAGGAGGCAACTATCAGAAAAGATGATGTTAAGATTAAAGAAAGAGAAAAAGAGGCTGGCTACTACAGGCTTCTGGTGTTCCCCAAAACCATTTCAATTACAAGTAGAAGGAAACAAATCTGCCCAACCAAATAAATCTTAATTAGAGGGGAACCCAAAATTGCTGTAAGAGGTCAACACAAATACTAAAAAATTTTGCAAGTAGATGCCTAAAGCCAACATTTTAAACAAACATTAGCAAAACAAAGTATCAGTCCCCCCCAAAAAAATATGGTATTAAATATTATAATGAAACACAATCACATAGTTCAATGTATTGTTTTTGAAGAATTTGTTTTTGAAAAAAATATTACCATTTATTCATACCTGTGTCTGAATATCATCCCCTGTGACAATGTTTCCTACAGCCCGCAAAGCAGGAGAAACCACTTTATAATCATTATGCCTGCAAAAATTAAAAAGAAAGAAAGAAATGTTACAGCCTAGCCAGTAGTTCTATCCATAATCTTTTTTCTTTAGGGCTGAAGTCCAAAAGAAATAATTTGCAATAAGATTTCAGAACAGAAAGGTACCAATGTTATTATTAAAGGAACCCTACCATGATGACAGAATGTTTTATGTCCCCTTAGAATAGCTGTCTTCCCCAGTATTCACAATTTTTGGAAAAAATTACACTACATTCCTAGCAATCTTTTCCAGACTTTCATTACATGGAGTCCAAGCACTCCCTCTCACTCTTTACTATAGGCTTACTTCCTCTTTACTTTATCTTCTATGGTTGCTGAGATAAATGGGGACCAAGAGTTAACATAATTTTTTTTTTACATCTGGAGATTTAACCCAGAGGTACTTTTCCACTGGGCTATAACCCCTATCCCCAGCCCTTTTTGTTTTTCATTTTGAGAAAAAGTCTTGCTAAGTTGCTTAGGTCCTAAGTTGCTGAGTCTGGCTCTGAATGTGCAATCCACCTGTCTCAATAAATTAATTTTAAAAGGAGGCAAAACTGACGTGTCAATAGTTGACTAAATTTAAAAATTTTCAAATACTAAACTTTATTAAACCTACTAAAAGCTGCCTTACTGGTCAAAAGAAACCCTTCATAAAGCCTGTTTTACATATTTGAAGACAGATTTATATGTCTAAAATAGAAGATAAACATAAAAATAGAAAATATAAATATGTAGTCTGGATTTTAGGATAAATAAGTCAATACCCTTTATCTTAAAGATAAGAAAATTTTCTTTCTTCTTTAATGATACTAGTTACTTTTCTTAAACTGTCAGTTCCTTCACATTTAAGATGGGTGGCTCAAAATAAATGATTAAAATGTATAATAATCTAATATCTAAAGGATGCAAAGATTAATTCCCAGATTTTGAATGTTTTGTAATTCCTACAACATCATATTGCTTTTAACTCACAATAGTACTACTTTACTAATCTACAACCAATCTGTGGCTATAATCCCATAGTTTTGTCTTCTATACATTATACTTGTCTAATCCATTCCACATCTCATGTCTGGGAAAACGTCTCTTTATATCTATTTGAATTTCTATTACATTTCTTGTTACTTATAACTATACAATTTCTTTGTTGTCTTTTCACTCTACTTTTTTCTTCTAAAGTTTTTTTTTTTTTTTTTTTTTTTTTAAGTTGTAGACGGACACAAGACCTTTGCTTTTTTAATATGGTGCTGAGGATGGAATCCAGTGCTTCACACATGCTAGGCAAGTGCTTTACCACTGAGCCACAACCCCAGTCCCTTTTCTATAGTCTTAACTAGAAATTTAATTAATTTCAAATCATTATATCACAAGCAAATCTTTCACCCCATCATCAAAAGCATTACAAAGGGAGTGAAATAAAGATTCAAAACTCTGATCCCAGTCTAGATTAAACTCTAAATTGGATAGACGATAAAGAATGACTATTTTTAGTGGCACAATAGGTCATCCACTGTGGGCTAGAATTATACAGATCAGTTTTCCAAAGATTCTGCTAAAGGGTAACTATAACAAAAGAATATGAGGTTCTCCATAAATCTCATAAGAAAAAAACAGAAACACCCGACCCCCCAAAAATAAACAAAAGACAGCAGTCCAAAGCACAATAAATCGGTAAAACAAACAACTGATTAATATATAAGTATTAATAACCAGGAAACTATTACAAGGGGAAAAAAGCACTTTCTTAAAAATATCTCACATTAGCAGCTCCACCAGTCTCCTACATACTCCTGCATCAATGACCGCTTGAATTTTATCATTGGGTCCATCTGATAAATACGAGAGGGCCCAGCAGGCATCAGCCAGTACATCAGTGTCACTGACAAAGAGCAACCAGGAAAGCACATTCAGACAGGGGGAAACCTGTAAAAGGAAGATAATATGATAATGAAATTCAAAAGAATGGAAGTTAGAAGTAAGGTGAGATAACCAAGAAGGCTAACAAGCAAACACTTGATGACTTGGGTTAAGATTTACATTTCTAGAGTTTGACTAGCAAAGGGCTGGGTGGCTTTTCCATCTTTGGGAATGCTATCAATGGTCCTACAATTTTTACTTTGCTGATGGTAGGCAGAATCTAAGAAAAATTATTTCGGGAAGAAAAGTTTTACATATACCACTTCTGAAGATTGAGAGTCTCTGTCAAAACCTATACTCTGAAGACTAAAGACATAAAGAAGCTTTCAAAAATGCCAAAGCTGGGAAATTCCATATTTTAGATAACTTGTTATGAACAAAATAAGCTAAGGTTTTTGTTTTTGTTTTTTTTAAAGAGAGAGAGAGAGAGAATTTTTTAATATTTATTTTTTAGATTTCGGTGGACAAAACATCTTTATTTAATTTTTATGTGGTGCTGAGGATTGAACCCAGCGCCCCGTGCATGCCAAGATGAATTTGAAGCTTTCTACAGACAGTGAGAGGGATCCCAAAAAAATAAAAACCACCAAAAACTGTTTCTCTAGAAACCAATAAAATTCTAACATGCTAAATTTGATCAAAAAGTATCATTTTGTGTTCATTAATATTGGTTGATACATTTTTTAACTGCATTTTTCTGCCAATTTTCTACAAGCACAGTCCTTACCTTTGCAAATTCTGGAGGTGGGCTTTTTCCTCTACAGAGATTAGACAAAGCCCATACTGCATTCCGGGTCATTGTCAGGCGGTTTTGCTTTGAAAATAACCTACAAGTATGACACAACAGCTAATTATATAGCAGATATTAATTCTCTGGTAGCATAAGATAAATACTGAACTGGTACTGATAAAATAAATATATTCAAATGGCTTTTCTCCAAAATAAAACTTCATAAATTCTAGGGCAACTAATTTAGAAGTTTGGAACTGGCGTTAAAATCTGGAGCCTGAAGAAATGACGTAAATGAGTTAACAAGAATATATGTGGAAATTAAAAAATGACTTTCAAATATGTAATGCTTTCTAAGGGACTTCCCATGTTTTGTTACTCAAAAAAAGAAATAGAGACTTACTGCAAAAGAGGGGGAAGGATATTGCAGTCTAAAACATAGTCCCTGCACATGGTACTATCTCCAGCAATGTTGCCAAGAGCCCAGACTGCCTGTGAAAGAAGTATTTGTTAATGACTATTGTATACTTTAATTCCCACAAAATTCTTTCAAAAAAGATGCCAGCAGATCACATTAACCCCTTATAAAATTATAAAGCAATCAACATATTACACATGGACTAACTACAGATATTTTAAAATTCACACATCAGGAAGTCAACATGAAACAACTGTGGCATTGGGGGAAGAAGAAAATATTCTAAAATGTACAATAAACAAAAGGAAATATAGGCATCTAGGCATTTATTAAATAAATTAAAGCTTATTAAAGAGAAAAATCAATTCTTTTCTTAGAGGACCCCATTCCTCCATTCCTCTGTAACATTCCACACAGCCCTTACTTAGTACAGAACAGAGATTCAAATGGCTTTCTCAGCTGACTTAAAAATGTACTTTAATCTTAGAACACAAAAGAGTAAACAGAAACTGAAGAGCAATCAAAATGCAAGTAACTTTATTAATTTTCAGAGGTTGTATTATTTCCCCCACCTGTGCATAGAACCCAGGTGCTTTACCACTGAGCTATATCCCCAACTCTTAGTTTTATTTTGCAACAGGGTCTAAGATGCTTCGGGCCTTGCTAAACTGCTGAGGCAGGTCTCAAACTTGCAATCCTCCTGCCTTAGCCTCCTGAGTCAAAGGGATTATAGGTGCATGCCATCACCCAGCTGACTATATTTATCTTAACTGCAATGATGTTTCCACGGGTATCATACTGTACACTTTAAATATATACAGTTTATAACATGTCAATTTATACCTCAAACTCTAAAAGAAAATCATTTAGTAGTGATTTATCTTTACAAATTTTATATGGTTGACAGTACTAAAACAACATATTTTCTATGTCTTTTACTTCAAAAGTGGCAAAGATACTGCTATTCTGATACTAACACTACAATTCCTATAAGGAGAAGCTCTTATATCAGTAACTGCTTACATTATCTAAATTTATAAACTATAGGGCTTAAAGAATGTCAGGGTGGAAAGGGGAAAGAGTTTTATGTGTCTAGAAGAAATTGTGCCTATAGAAACTTAAAAAAAATTCTATTTTGTTGAAGGCTGGATTTCTAGAACATTTGCTGTAATTATTATGGCCAAGTAATCAAACTTAGGCCAAGAAAATGCAAACTTATTCTTTCATATGCTTCCTTTTTTTTTTTTTTTTTACCTGTTCTTGGACATCTTCAAACTCTGAGCTGAGCAACTCTATGAAGATGGGCACTGCCCCTGCCTGAATCACGATCCGGGTCTGAAGAGAATTTCCTGAAGCAATATTTGTCAGTACCCAAGCTGATTCAAACTATAAAGATAAAAATAATTTTCATTATCTTATTAGAATTTTAAAACTTCTTTTTTACTTTTAACAATAAAGTTTTCTGTACATGAATAAAATAAGCCTGAGATCATTTTTTATGTATCAGCTATCAATTAAATTCCATTTTAATTTCAAAAGAATTTCCAGAAGAAATTCTTCAGTCTAGAAAAATGTTCAGAATGTCTTAAAATGTCAGATCAAGATTAACATGAGACCATAAAAATGAGGGAGTTTTTCATATGCTGATATGCAATGATCTCCCAATATTTAAATAAAAACAACAACGAAATGCAAAACCGCATACATTACTATGACATTAGGTATATATCATTATGGTATATTACCTAAAACGGTTAAAAAGTAATATATGCATTAATATACTTATTGTATATCTCCAGAAGGAGTTACAAGGATCTATAAATACTTAATGCATCCAATGAAAGGGCCTAGATGACTGGGAAACGAGGATAGGAAAAACAACTTTAACCGAAAAGCCCTATTCCTATGTTCCTTTTGGCCTTTTACTGTGTACATAATCCAGTATATTAAAAAAAAAATAAATGTGTGTGTGTAAGATAGGCAAAATGAAATGAAAAGCAGGAGACGTGATGTTAAGTAGGCCAAAAGGAGTTAACAGGCATAAAATTAATAATAATTCCCAATTAATAATTCCCAAGCATAAAAGAACCCAAACCAAGGTACAGAAATAGAGTTGTTTTTTTTTTTTTTAAGAACATTCTTAATAGGAAAAGAAAAAAAGGTAAACTTAGAAAAGGTAAACTTAGAAAACAGAAGATATGAAGAAAATCATGGCCAACAAAAAATATAGCATATTACTAATTATAACAGTAACTTGATTTTTTAGTTTAATATTGATAAATCCAAGAGTGAAGCTTACATTTCCACTTAATTAAGAGTTCTTAATTAGATTTTAAGTTAATTCCCTCCCCCATTTTATCTTCTTTTAATCTTTTAATAAAGTATATACACAGGAAAAAATTCAGTATATCTCTTTAAATAAGAGATCAATAACATCATCAAAAATGTACATTTGACTTTTTCTAAGCTTTTGGATTAATTAAAAAAACAACAGTCATAGGGAAAACTTATCAATCATGGGGGTAGAGGAAGACAGGAGATGAGTACAGTCAATCTGACCAGCACAGTACAAAGCTGTATGAATGACAGCAAATTCACAGAAGCCAATTAAAATAAGGGATGTTTAAAAAAACCTATAAAAGTGACAAACACAGGTGTGATAAAATGGCTTGATAGTCAACCTAGACACTAATGTTATACCAGTGAGGAGGCCCAGACTAGGAATACCACAGTTAAACAGAACATAAACTATATCTGAAAATGTTTTGTTATAATCAAAGTTCAGGAGACACAGATGAAATCATGGGGGCAGATGGGGATGACTCCCAACCACTTTACACATTCATCTCTGTAGTTAAATTGCTAATGAAAGCAATGCTCAAACACTTTTTAATCCGTCTGAATTAAACTTTACATTTGTACAGTACTTTATATTTTTCAAAGAATTATTCACATACTCTTGAGGTGATCCTCTTAACAACCCAAAGATGTTAAGATGTCTGGTTTTTCTAGTTATGAATGAAGAAGCTATCAGAAAAAGTTCCAACTATGTGACTAATGATTTGAGTAATATATATAGTCAGCCAGAGAAGGTCTAGATTACAGTCGCCTAATCAAGTATGCTACCTTTCCTCTCAGAAACATACCTGTAACACTGGCATAAGAATATTTCAATTGCTTTTAGTTTGGGTAACTAGGGCAAGAAATTTCAAAGAGGTATGCCAGATTATTTATATAAAAAAAATTTTGCCTAAAATGTACTTTAATTTTTTACTAGAAAAATTAATTAGCTAAATCAGTATAAAAGCAGACTGTCCTACCTAGGCAGGCTCAAAGTTCAGTGAATAATCATCAGATACTACAGAGATCAAGTCAAAAGAAATGAAGACTGAGGAAAAGCAATCTGGAGAGAATGAGAACTATAAACATATAGAAGAGGAAAAGGATGGCATTAAGATTTTGATGCAAAAGAAATGCTGATGACCTCGGTTAACAAAGATTATATTAAAGTTATCAGTGAGAAAAAAATACTTAAAATACTAAATAATTCTAAGTTTGTCAGAGTACAAACTGCTATCTGAGTTAAGCTCCAAAGATCTCTGCGGAAATAAAAGGGAATTCCAGAAGCTATTCAAGTGAATAAAATGGAGAAATGAAATTAAATATAGGGACAGTGACTAGGGAAGTGAAAAATAAGTGAAAAACAGTCTGAACATGGATGGTAAAAAAATTAGAAACAAGCGTATCTTAGTAGAACGTGTCAAAGAGTTATGATTATTACTAAGAAATGCATAATGATGATCTAGCCTCTGAATGAAAATAAGATTCAAGAAAAGAAATCAAAAAGCAGTTTTATTGTTATCCAGGACAGAAGTAGATGAATAACTATAATTAGAGGACAACGGAAGACACCCATACTCATGCACTAATAAGCCATAAAAAACATACACACAAAGGGTGCCAATTACACTGGTGTTTTTAACCTTCTAAAATCTCTCAAGCTGCATGTGTTAAATTTTCTATAACCGTGTGTGTGTGTGTGTGTTTCTTTCTTTCTTGTCAGAAGAACTCCTAACTATAAAACCCTGTTACTGTTGGAAGAAGCAAATTTCAAATATACTTAACATGTAAGAACATTCTTTAAAAACTGGATGTGCTCTGAACCATATAACTTTCATCACAGTCTGTATGTAATTTAAGCTGTTTTTCCATGAGATTTTCAGGTTTTTTGTTTTTGTTTTTTAATGTTTCAGCTTTGGGTGCTAGATTAGAATATAACCTGAAAGTTACAAAATGGAAAAACCCGGAACTGATGGCAAATAAAAATACATAGTTATGATAAAAGTAGACGAAAACTAAGTTTAATTATACAACAAGAAAAAAAATCAGTAACCTGAAAAGAGAGGGAAAGAAATCTAATAAATGATGCCACCTGAAGTAAAAAAAAAAAAAGACGACCAAGAAAACTGTAACCTTCACTTCGTCTTGTTTTAAACTACTGCATTCTTAATATTCCAAGAATGGTACCATACAAGGAAAATCACCTATCATGCAGTGATAATTGCTATTTTTCACTATTCGGATCTTGCTAAATAAGGCTACAACTGAAGGCTGCACACTGAAGATTTGATGCTTCCTCTCTCCCCTTTCTTAAGTCTCTACCTTCTGGCGCTCAGTTCCTTAAATAAGGAAAATGAGAATCCAAAGCTGAAGTACTTCTGACCTCCTATCAAGTTTCCCACTCCAGGTTGATGTACGCCTGGTTCCCTTTCTCCATTTGGATCAGGACTCTGTTGCTGGCCACTTTGCCGGTTCCACTCTGGTTCCTAGCAAATGCCAGGCTCACCTGGAGAGCAAGTGAAAAGAAAGGCTCACATCAGAAAAATAAACCCAGATATCAAACTCTGCAGAGAACAGTGCCTGAGTCATCTGAGCAACCTTCCAGGAAAGGTAGAGAGATCATTGAAGATGGGGAAAGTCACAGGAGGATGAAGGCTTACTGCAGTTTCTCACATTAAGGGGGACAGAAAGGCAGAAAAGGGGAAACTGAGCTAACCTAATTCAAATTTACAAATTTTACAGGAGTACCTGTCTGGTGCTTTTAAGCAAGAGGTAATTTAATTATTTCTAGACTTTTTAAATAAATTTCTATAAGGTTTGGGAATGAACATCTTAGCACTGTAAAAGACAGTACAAAGATGCTAACCTGGATTCAAAAAAACAAAGTGGGCCCACAGAACATACCATAAAGCAGACCAGTCTCATGCCAAAGCCTCTAAGACCTAGATGTCACTGAGCTTGAGAAATGCTCTTAGCTAATGGCATTGCTTTCTGCCAACACCCTAGATTCCACCCATGCTAACCTCCACTTTGAGGGCAGGTCAGTAACTGAGTAGCCACACCCAAAGCAGGCATTTTTAGCTGCCTTGTTTAAGGTGTCTCACCAATTTGGGAAGACAGAATGGGAATGAAGACACCCTTCACTCGATTTATAGTTCCTTAGATATAGAATGAAGAAATTAAGATTTTCCAGAGTTTATCAATGGGTTGAGCCACTAATTTTCCTATTGGAACCATATAGTATTGACTCTCTTTCTGGAAGAGAAATGGCAAAAACCGTATTCCAAAGATATACTGTTCATCTCTCTAGTAAGCGGGCAGTAGTATCAAGGATGTACACCCTAGTTCTCTCCAAGAAAACAGGTAAAAGTACGAGCTTTCCAACACACCTAATTATTTGAAGACAGGGCAGACCATGAAGTCTCCTGGCTCTAATGTCTCCCTAAATAATAAACTTGCTTCTCTTGCTTCAGAGGAAGTCAAGGTTACCCATTACTTACACTGGAGAAAGAATACCATTTTGTGCTTAAATATGCTCAGAAGAAACCTGGAAATGACAACCCTTAGATAACAAACAGGTTTAATATTTTTTTTCTCAGTTTTAGAGTAGCTCAGGTGAAAATCATGAGGTGGTCACTTCCAGAGGAATAATTTTTCAGTATTTCAACCTAATTATTAGTTAGCAGAGGGTGGAACCTAGAAATTTAGATAGAAACAAATTAGATGTTTCTGAAGGCTTTCATCTTTAGGTGTGTTCCAGGATTAAGGTATTAAATGAAAAAATGATGTACATGTAGACTTTCATAGAGTATAGGACAATGTAGAGTTAAGCAACAACTTATTTCTTTTTTCATTTTAGGTTATACTTTCTTTCTTTAATGCATGAAGAATTGAACCTCTGCAAACACCTACTAAAAACTGCTAGATCCAGGAGTAAAACCAGTATCTCTCAACTATTCTCATCCCCAGTCAGGATAGAAACTTTTTTTTTTTTTTTTTTCAGCATGAACAAATGATAATTTTCCCTACCTCCCTTTTCCTAAAAGAATTTCAAATGATAAACTGCAGTAAGGCTCCTCATTTGGTCCCTCTGGTTTGCTTGGCAGCTTGCTTAGGGGCTCAGGCTCTGTTCTCTGCAGTGTTGGTTTTCTGGATTTCCTTTTTTCTGAGAAAAGTCTCTCTCTTCCCTTGCTCTCAGGGTGAACATAATATTTTAGGTGTCTGGTGATTCTGGCCTTATATGGGGGACCAGAATTACAATCCAGGAGGCAGCTAGCAAAACAGAATCTTAATTCAAATAAACACAGGGACTGATATATGTCAAACTGGAGAAGAAAAACTGATGGGACATCAAAGTACTCTACCTTTTCTGGATTTCTTGTTTTTCCTCTGGAAGAAACTCATCACCGCAATAATGATGTAAACAGAAAGAGAAAGATGGGATAGGACGATAGGAGAGAAAATATCAACAAAGCATTAAAAAGGTCCCAGTCCCTACATGGCACCAGTCTTAAGGCAAAAAGTCCATGGTGGGTGGAAAGGGATTATCTTTATGATTAACTTGTTATTAGCAAAGATTTACTTGGAAAAATAATTCCAATTTGTGATCTACTTGGTACCTAACAAATTTTATAGTTGCAGAGTCTCTTTAAAGGGTCTGGGTCTTTCACATTAGATACTTCAGTGAAAATTCAGAAATCACAAGTATAGTTAATGATACAAGTAGTAATTCAGCTGGCTACTTCAAGGAAATCTAGCTATGACCAATCACCACTTTACCAAAAATCCAACTTTATTGAGGAGGAAAAACACACACACACACACACACACACACACTATTTAAAAATTTTAAGATAATTCCAAGGATTAGTCAGTTGACAGTGGTTTCTTTTACTGTGAAAATTATTCAATCCAGAAATTGGAGAATTCCCTCTTGGAATTCTTATAGCACAATACCGAAAGATTAAATTGACATACCAGAAAGTATAATTCCTGACAAAGCTATCTCTCCTTGTCAGCTCTTCTGGGGTAAAAGGAGGACCATCAGAATCAGATTTCAGGATTATCAAGTATATGATCAGACCATGTAATACCTTTGTGTGTGTGTGTGTGTGTGTGTGGTGCTAGGGATTGAACCCAGGGCCTTTATGCATGTGAGGCAAGCACTCTACCAACTGAGCTATATCCCCTGCCCTTACCATCTTGAGAAAGCCAACAAATATAATCTACAAATTCCTCAAACCCAAATTTTAGGTAGCTCACATATTGATTCCTGTTTATAATGGTTTCTCTACAGCAAAGGTTTCCCTATTAGATTACCTATAATCTACAAATATTACATCATCTACAATCATCATAAAACTTTTTAAAAGACTAGAAACATAAGTTTGAGAGAGTGTAATAAGGGTCTACTATGTTAACAAAGCTGGAAAAGAAGCCTGCAATGCAGTTGTCATAAATTTCATTATCAACAAACTCAATCTCTTCATACAGGTTAAGCATGTAAAAAAAATCATTTACATAATGAAAGTTCAAGGAAAACTAAGTTATGACGCAAGAAATGAAAATGGTCCGCACCTGCAGTGTACAATTCTCTTTTCGTTTGAGGAATTCCACAAACCTTGCCACTACTCCTGGTGTGCTGATAACTTCATCAATAGGAGGATTAGGTTCTGTTTCCCCATAAAATGAAAGGAAAGAAGAAAAACAATCCTTTGACTTCAGTGCAAGAACTTTTCAATTTAACATTAATTTATAATACTCCTCCCTTCATTTACCAGCTCTTTCATATTGGAAAACCACCAAAACAACAAAAAAAAGTGAAACTGCATTTGAACACTTTGGGACAAGAGTAGTTTTTAAAGGTTTCACACAATATGGAAATAAAAGAGTGAACAGAATTCTTTGGTTTTGTTTTTTGTGATGCTAGGTAAACTTCACCCCCAAATCCTACAAATTTGCAAAAATCAAAATTACTGCCTCTACTTTTTAGGAAACTTTGAACATAGGGGGTAAAAAATTTCCAAAGACAACTACTGTTAGTATTTTAGTATACTGTCTTCTAGCCCCTTTTTTATACATGAGCTTTTAGTCTGTTATTATATATTACCTTAAGAAGCTGAATTATAGGATTCTGTGCTTAAAGGATTTAACAAGTGCAGTTATAAAGAGAAGCCAATAAAAATTCACTACAATTGATTTATCAAATTAATCTCATTTTCATTTATGACAAAACGTTATCTTATAAAGGGAGTCACTCAACTTATTTACTTATTGGGTGAGTAAATAAGAAAAGTCAGATAAATCAGATTAATAATTTCAGGAAGAGATCTGAGTTTTTGACAATGTATATGGTAATACCTGAAAAATGCAGATCACAGTACTATCTGGAGAGCCTTAGCCTTATTAAAGAAGTGACTAATGTGCTGAGAGTGATAGCACATGCCTATAATCAGAAGGCTAAGACAGGAGGCTCTCGAGTGACTAATGGTACAATGTTGATTTGGGGAGGAGGAGGCTCTAATGATAAACCCTATCTGGTTCAACATTTTTATTAACCACTCTAATAAATATAAAAAACAAATGTGATAGTAACAATACACTACTTGTAATATGCTGAATTATAGAAATAATATGCAAAAAGAATACATCAAAAATTGGCAATAAAACAACAGGAATAAAGCAAAAATTCAGCAACTTTTTTCTGTTGTGGGTTTTTTATTTGTTTTTGGTGCTGGGGATTGAACCCAGGGCCTTGTATATCCAGGGCAAGCGCTTTACCAACTGAGCTATATTCCCAGCCCTCTGTTTTTTTGAGGCAGGTTCTAAATTACCCAAATTAGCAGCAAATTTCTGGGCTTAAGTGCTCCTCCTGCCTCAGCCTCCCCAAGAATAAACTGGGACTATAAGCATGTGCCACAACATCTGGTTTATGAACTGTATTTTTTAAAATCTACATAATTTCCCACACAAATTAATTACAGTTAACGAAGTGTAGGAAACTTAGTTTGCTGAAAATCCAATGAAATATTACTAAGCCATGACTCTCAGAAAACTAATGCTAACTTGAATTAATTCCTGGAATGGATAGTTTTAAAAAGAAGGTAATCTCTTACCATATTCTATAGTAATAAGAACACATCTGGAGTACTGTATTCTAATTATCATTTAAGAGTGATGCTAGCAAACTAGATTACAAGCAGGAAAATAGAAGAATGGCAAAAGGCCTTAAAAAGTTATATCATATGGGCTGGGGCTAGAGCTCAGCTGCAGAGTGCTCGCCTCGCACGTGTGAGACCCTGGGTTTGATCCTCAGCACCACATAAAAATAAATAAGTGGAATAAAGGTATTGTGTCCAACTACAACTAAAAAATAAATATTTTTTTAAAAAAGTTATATCATGTGAGAAAATCATAAGGCTCAGCTTACTGAAAATAGACAGACACATTTTTAGAGGGGTAGAAAGGTGTACTTCTCCTTCAAATATTTAATAAATTGTTCAGGCAAAAGAAATTATGATGGTAGGTTTTTATTCCATTTAATCTCAAGGGATGTACAATTTTTTTTAATCACTAATGATTCTAAATAACCATAATTCAAGTATTTGCTATCAACACTTTAATACAATTGTTATTTTCACTTGCCCATGTCTACAACAAGTATGATATTCTGATCTACATTAATTATACCAAAAATGGGTACAACCTTACCCACCTTTTAAACCCATATTTTCAGTGGTACACTGGTAAAACTGTAAACAAGAAAACTGGCAATTATTACTTTTTCAAGTAATGTTATTTAAGTTTTTCTATAAATAAGGTGGAGCTTTAGTTTTAATTAAAATAAGATGTTGATTACTAGTATAATAAGTTAGTTCAAAAATGCTGCCTCCTGATCTTGGTAGTCCCATAAATAAGAAAATGAAAAGGCACTTTTCACAATTATATGTCTGTGTGTGTCTCTATTTTGTATTGATAAAACACACTCCAAAACAAATTATCTGTGATGTGAAAATAAATTATGGGAATATTTTACAAAAAGATTTAAAAAAAAGATAGACTCAATATATGCAGAGCTCACCTTTTGAAAGTAGTTTTCTGAACTTCTGTGTTGCTGAAAGCTGTTGCTCTGGGCTATTGGAAAATATCATTTCAATCATATCAGAAGTAATAACACCACCCTGAGATCACAAACAAAAAGCAAATTTAAAATACTATCTTAATTCAGAGGACAATAAAGCTAGTATAAATTATAGCCAAGTTACCTAGTTTGTCACATTTCTCAAGAAATTACATAAAGTAGATAAATATTTACATGCAAAAATGTGTAAGATTAGTAATGCAATGAAGCCAAATTCTCATTCTGATTTAAAAGCTCACAATAGTGAAAAAATAATGTCAGTAGTAAATCCTAAAGCAAAAATCTTCGTCTCCTTGCTTAATACATGACTGGTTGTTCTTTGTTATGACAATTAAAAGGTTAAGTTCTGAAAGACAGTTTTTCAAGACCTCTAAACTTGAAGCAGCTGCTCTCACGCGACCTATTTTTAATTCCATGCCCAACTCATCATTACTAGACATTTTTCCTGATACTTCTCCTTGAAATCCAAAGATACACACACACACACACACACTTTTTGGGGAGGGTGGGGGGATTAAGATACTGATCAATTCTACAACTGATTTATTTTTAACTGACATAAAAACGGTGTACATATCAATGGATACCATGTAATATTTTACTACATGTACACAACTGTGTAATGTTCAAATCAGGACTCTCTCCATTTTACCATTCTATCACTATTGGCTAACATATAGTAGATGCTCAACAAATCTTTACTAAAAAAATAGACTGTGGATTCTAGCCACTGCCAAAATCTACAGCTGACTTTTAAAGTTATTTAAAATTCCTGGCAGGCATGATGGTGCACACTGTAATACCAGCAGCTCAGGAGGCTGAGATAGGAAGATCGAGAGTTTGAAGCCAGTCTCAGCAAAAGTGAGGTGCTAACCAACTCAATGAAACCCTATCTCTTAAAAACAAATTCAAACTAGGGCTGGGGATATGGCTCAGTGGTCAAGTGCCCCTGATTTCAATCCCCAGTACCCTAAAATAAATAAATAAATAAAAATTTTATTTCCTTGCTTCTTCATTAAAACTACTTTCTTGCTTTATTAAAACTTTGTAGTTTCCCATTATTTTCTTGCCTTATTATTTTTCCATTTCCTGTTGTAATCCATGCCCAGTATGAGCAACTAACTTTCTTCTCAAAATCATTTGTCACAATGATACAAAATTCTTATTTTAAGAAAGCAACAACTGAGTTGTAAATGTTGGATGGTTGGTAAACAATATGTAACATTAAGAACTCCCACTAGGGAATGTATAAAGCATTCTGCTGGGAAGTCAGAAAAGCAACTATTTTCAAAGATGCAAGACCAATTTCTGAATAAACCAAGGTACCTAAATGACTGCTACGACCATGTCTTACACTCAAACATGTATATATAGTAAGCAACTCTCTTTTTCTTTTCTCTCATCCTCTTAAAAGCCAAGCAGATTTTACAACATGGTACCTAAGTTATAGGATACCATTAATACCCAAGGGGAAAGGATTGGTATATTTTTAGCTATATGCAAGAGAATTGTATCATCTTAAGTGGAGACACAACTTTTGTTTGTCTTTGAGACACAATATGGTGCCAGGAAGATACATATAGATACTAAATCGACAAGAAATAGAATATGATAATTTTGGTACTCAATTATTTGGTCAAATACCAGTCTAGATGTTAGATATCATTATTTTATATGTGATTAACATTAAATCACTACATTTGAATGAAATAGATTGCTCCCCATAATATGGATTAGCCTCATGCTCTCAGTTCATGCCTTAAGAGCAAAGAATTTCCAAAAAAGGAATCCAGCCTTTGGACTGGCAACATCGACTCTTTCTTTAATTTCTCCGCCTACAGATTTCAAATTGCCAGCTCCCAATCAAGTGAGCCACTTCCTTTAAATAATCTTTTCTCTCTCACTGGTTTTCTCTGAAGAACCCAGGCTGATACAGTCTATAACACTGTATTCATTTCATACACATTTTTTAAAAATTGGAAAAACTTTGTGAAAGCTCTAAAAGCAACTACCACAAAAATGATGACAGCATTATCTATATTCTTTCTAAGTTTATAGCTAAATTAATCTTTATAACTTAATTTTGTTTAATTGTACATGGTCCAAAATACAATAAACATTTAATAAACCATGAAGAACAAATATGCAGTTTCTTTCAAAATGAAATGCTAAGTAATTTCTGTAGCTATCTAACTTAACCTTTTTATTAAACTCAAAAAGAGATATAAAGGCTGGGAATGTAGCTCAGTGGTAAGTTGCTTGCCTGGCATGCATGAGGCCCTGGGTTCAATCCCTAGTAGAGAGACAGAGAGAGCATGCACAAGCTCGCACGCGCAAGCTCTCGCTAGCTCTCATTATATTTATCACAAAAACACCAAAAGGAATTGTTGTTATTATTTTACTTACAGGTGCCATCTCCATGTTATTAATCTGGGCCTCATGAAAGCCACCATCTGACATAATTTCTTCTTCTGTTTCTTCTTCTGCAGTAGCAACATTTCTTCGCTTGAATAACTGAAAAAATAAAGACGGTTACTAATGTAATTCTTACACAAGGGACTTGAACATCCAAATACTAGGCACTTGATTTAAAAGGAAAAGGGGATGGAACTCTTTGAGAGTCATTTTAAAAATCCTGAAGTTTGTACTACTTTCACCCTTAACTGATGAGGAACAATTGTAGATTGCTCCAGTCTTATAATCTAATACAAATAACTATATCACAATATGTATAACCAATACTTGATGATATAAGAGGCCTGACAATACATGACATGGGGAAAAAATTTTAAAAAGGAAAGGAAAAGAACATGGCAAACTTGACCATTTCCCTCATAAAGTAAGCAACAAGATCGTCTTAACAATACATCAGGAAAAATGAGAATATAAACAAGGTAAGAATGACTAATATTTCCATTTTAACTCTCAAGAACAGTAGACTGGAGTTTTTCTGACCTTCTTAAGCTCTCCAGTAATCAGTGACAAGAGTACTAGAATCTTATTTTAAAAGAATTGAGGCAGGCACGGTGGCACATGCCCATAATCCCAGAAGCTTGGGAATTCAAAGCTAGCCTCAGCAACTTAGAGAAGCCCTAAGTAGCTCAATAAGACCCTGTCTCTAAATAAAATACAAAAAAGGGATGGGGATGTGGCTCAGTGGTCAAGTGCCCCTGAGTTCAATCCCTAGTATTAAAAAGAAAAAAAAAAGAATTGATTAATTTGCATAGGCAAAGAAAATATTCTTTCCAAAGTCAGCCTAATAAAGTGCTTTTCATTATATCCTTAAGAATCCTGAAAGCCAGGTGCAGTTTGTGCAAAAAGACAGGAGGATCTCAAGTTCAAAGGCAGCCTCAGCAAAAGCGAGGTGCTAAACAATTCAGTGAGACCCTCTCTCTAAATAAAATACAAAAAAATAGGTCTGGGGATGCGGCTCAATTGTCGAGTGCCCCTCAGTTCAATCCCTAGTACCCCCCAATGAATGAATGAATGAATAAAGGCACTGTGTCCATCTACAACTAAAATTTTTTTTTTTTAAAGTACAGGCTAATAAAAGTAGAGGGAATTATCACTACAGCTACTATTAAAGTAGTAGACCTTAGCAGTGATCATCGAAAGCTGCTAAAATCTGTGGTGAAAGGCTGGTGGGGCCTCTTTATAGTAGATAGATCATGTTAGCAATATCAATAACATCACAAAAAGAGAGTGATTTTAAATGTGATGCTCCATTGTACTGTCATGTGTAACTAATTAAAACAAATTTTTAAAAATGTGATGCTCAAAGAAGTAAAGTGTCATCTACAAAGTCTCCTTGTTAAAAAAAAAAAAAAAACTGTATCTAACCAAGTCTTTATATTTAACTATGAGTTCTTATGAAATATGGGAGCCAAGGAACACTTTAAATGGCATACTCATTCAGACTCATAGGTTCCACAAGGAAAATGTCTTCTCTAACACCATCTTTCCAAGGAATAAATGAGAAAACAGAAAAATCGGGTGGCGAAAGTTATTAGTGATGGTGTCAAGAAAACAAGACATCTATGTGTAGAAGAATGAAGGTGAATCCTTACCATAAACCTTATACAAACATTACCTCAAAATAGATTAAAATTGATAAAGAATTTGCCTACCATATGTAAGGCCCTGGGTTTAATCCTCAGTCTAACTACAAAACTCTTAGAGGAGAAAATCTTTTCAACACCAAATATCAATGATTTCTCAGAAATGACATCAAACTCACAAAGGATGAAAAAAAATAAACAAAAAGGACTATATTAAACCTTAAAACTTCTGCACATTAGACAATAAAGTGAAAAGGCAACCTACAGAATGGAGAAAATGACTGTGAATCATATATCTGATAAGGATTTGAATACCAAAATATACAACAAACTCCTACAACTCAACACCCAATTTTAAAATAAGAGCTGAATAGGCATTTCTCCTAAGATACACAAATGACATTAAGGATATGAAAAAAATGGTCAACATTACTTCTCGATACAAAAAAAAAAAAAGGTGAGAAATCATTAGAATGGTCCCTATCAAAAAACAGAAAACAAGTGTTGACAAGTATGTGAAAAAAATGGAACACCTCGCACACTGCTGGATGTAACATAAAATGTGCAATTCCTACAGAAAACAGTAAAGAAATTTCTAGGAAAAACAAAAACAAAACTGTCATATAATCCTGCTGTACTACTTCTGAGTATATATTTAAAAGAATTTTAAAGCAGAATATCAGAGAGACATTACACACCCATATTCACTGCAACATTATTCAAAATGGCCAACTGGTAGAAGCAGTCCAAATGTCCACCAATTCAGATAAATGGATAAAGAAAATGCACTGAGATGTACAACCAAATATTACTCAGCCTTAAAGGGAAGGCAATCCTGTAGTTTATGCTACAACATGGATAAACCTTAAGGACACTATGCTGAATGAAATAAACCAGTCACAAAGAGACAAACAGTGTATGTTCCACTTAAATGAGATTTCTAGGGAAGTCAAAAACATGGAAACAGAAAGGGGTCTTGGGGAAGAAGAAATTAGGAATAGTTCTTTAATGTTCTATAGCTTTTATAGGGGACGAAGACATGATTGGTGGGAATATGAGATCAAAGGAGTAATTCTATAAAATGAGACCACTGTGCTGACCTTCACCTGCTTTCACCTTTGAAAAGCAATGTAGCGCCCGCAGCCCTGCCTGGCTTAAGTGGACAGAATATGTTACATTCCTCAGCAAATTACCATTATCTGCAGGAGAAATATGGAGGCCCAAAATAATTCCGATAAGAGGAACATAAGTTATCCTGAAGTGGGGGGTTTTTTAACCCTTTTTACAGAGACCAGATTCCAGAATTCAAGAAGAGAAGGATTAATTCCTCCCAACCATAAGAACACTGGAATCTGTAGGGTTCCAATTAGAATGTCAATGTGGGCCAAAGTGATCTAGAGTGGTCACAGCAGTGGGGACTTGAAAGTCTCATGTCATTCTGCTGTCACTCAAAAGTCAAGAGGTGGACCTGGGTAGGACTCTGGAAACTTCCTTGGGACCCCAATAAAACTACAGTCAAGGAGAGGCATGCTGTCCTTCTCTGAGAAGTGACTCTCTTCCTTGGGAGTGGCCCCCTTTCTGCTTTTCCATCTCTTTTAATAAATTCATGCCTGTTACTCCAAGCAACACGTCTGAAATCTTTTTGACTTGAGCATAAGAACTGGGGTTTCAATGGCTTGTCCTCTCACTGCCTCAATTTTCCAGAAGGCCCTAGCCCTGTAATAACTTCAAGATGAAAAAGTTCTAGATATCTGTTACACAACAATGTCAACATGATTAATACTACCAAACTGTCCATTTTAAATGGTAAGAGGGTAAATTTCATATTATGTAGGATATTAACCACAAATAAAGACTTTTTAGAGGAGAGTTTAAGAAATATGTCACCAAATGCAAGACAAAAACTGTTTAGATTCTGTTCTTAAAAATTATAAAAAAGATCATGAGACAATGTAGGAAATCTGAACGTTGATTAGACATTTTGTTATTAAGGAACTGTTTATTTTTAAGGTATAACACTATTCTGGTTTAAATTAAAAAGTCTTTATCCTTTAGAGATACATATGATGTCTAGGATTTGCTTCAGTGTAATGGTGGCTATTATTCTACTTCTGTCCAAAGGATGCCTTTGACATTGCCTATAGTGTGGGTCTAATTGTAAATTCTTTCAATTTTTATATTTCTGAACACGCCTACATTTCACAATCATCTCTGAAAAATATTTTTGCCAGGTATATTCTAAGTTGACAATTTCTTTTGTTAAAGATATTTCTCCACTAAAATCTGGCTCCTATTGGTTTTTCATTAACAAATTTGATGTCACCATTATTATTTGCCCTCTTATACGGAAATATGCCTGTTTTGTGTATTTTCTTCATCAAATATAATAATGATACATATTTGTTGTATATAGTGTTGATAATTTGATCCATATATTCAATTTTGACTGGTCAAATCAGAACAATATGAATTTCTATCTCCTTAAACACTTATCATTTCTTTGTGTTGGGAAACTCTCTTCCAGTTTTTTACAAAATATATAATAAATTCTCATGAACTATAGTCACCCTACTATGCTATAAAACATTAGAACTTAATTCTTTTCCATGTCATTGTATTTTGGTACCCATTAGCCAATCTTTATCTCTTATCTCCCTACCCTCTTTATTTCTAATGGCCACTAATTTACTCTCTACTTCTACAAAATCAACTTTTAGCTTTCACCTATGAGCAAGAGAAAGTAGTATTTGTCTGGGCCTGATTTATTTCACTCAATATAAAATGTTGCAGCAAATTATATAATTTCATTCCTTTTTATGGCTAAATAACGTTCCATTGTGTACATATGCCACGTTACCCATTCAATTGTCAGTGGACAATTCAACTGACTCTATATCTTGGCAACTGTAAATAATCCTCTAATAAACATGGGAGTGCAAGTGTCTCTTTGATATAATTATTTCATTTCCTTCAGCTATATACTTAGTAGTGGGACTAATGAATCATATGGTAGTTATATTTTTAGTTTTTTGAACATCCATAGCATTTTCCATAATGGCTATATTAATTTACATTCACACCAACAGTGTACAAAGTGTACAAAAATTCTGCTTTCTCTGCATCCTTATAAACGTTACTTTTTAGTAATTTATTTTTTATTTTTTTTGTGTATGTGTGGTGTTGGTGTTTGAACCCAGGGCCTTGTGCATTTGAGGCAAGCCCTCTACCAACTCAGCTATATCCCCCACCCAACATATTACTTTTTGTCTTTTTCAGTATAGCTATTCTAACTGGGATAAGATGATATCTCATGGTTTTGATTTGTATTTCCCTGACGATTTGTGATATGGAGCGTCTTTTACATACTTATTTTCCAACGTATAATATATATATTTTGGTTCGACTCTATGGTTTCTGACTCATAACTTCCTCACTGAGACAGCCCACAGAAACCAG